CTAGCGTATATATCTTATTGAGTACTTAATTTTTTTCACTATTTTAATCATTCAATAATATTATCAAGAATAAAACAGTTAAAAGATATAGGTAGACCTATATATTTACTTAAAGGTTTACCGTTGAAATGTGAAATTATTAAACAAATTTAATTTGGATTTCAATAATTGAGATTGTAAAAGTATATCTTTGTAATTCTTGATGACAAACCTGATACTGACTTTATTTTTAATGTGTTTAGGGTGGCAGCAGAATCAACCAATTCCGCAAAAAGAAAAAGTTTCTGCGCTCATTCGAATAACGTAAACAAAATGTTAAACTTTTTTCCTCACAGAAAACAAGACAGATTCTCAAAATAAGCAAACAAATAAGACAAGACCAACCAACCCATTGATATATAAACTTTTACAATTAATTCAAAGTTTTAATTCACCAAAATATTCTTTAAGCAGTATTAACATTTTGTTATCCCAGGGACATTTCTCTTTCCGCTCCTTGCCGCTACCTTTTTTGTCAACTTGCCGCGAAGGCAATGAATTTTTATGCAAATTGCAGTCGCCTTGCAGTTGACAACGTCGGCACCAAGTGAAGCTGCCGACGCACTCCGAAAAGTTTTTCCCACCCCGCCAAACACTTGAGGCGGCGCCATAAATCTTTGAGCAGTGTTTTCCACCCACCCAGCGGCAACTGGTGGGAGTAGGTTGGAAAAGTCTTGGGCTTGTTTACCTTGTTAGCTGGGGACTCGGGGGCCCTGTTGGAAAATACTCGAGGCAATCAGACGGAATTTGCATAATTTGACAATTGTTTTCAAATTGCAATAACAATTTTAGCTTAATTGTTTTGCACACGCCAGCGAAAATATTCTTTTTCAACCAGTGCCGGCTAGTGGGGCTGCCTTAATTCCCATTCATTTGATTAGTGGGCCAAAGTTGTTCCTTCTGTACTTTTTGGGGCAACTGCCACAGGCAGAAACTTTTTCAATTCAATTGTAAAATAAATATTTTACAAATAATTGCCGGCCATCGCCTCCCCCCTCTGCTTGCCGCACCAAAATCGGAATATTTCGAAAAAGTTTCTATTTTATACGCCATTTTTTTAATGGCCACACAATTTGCTGCGTTTAGCAGAGTCGCCATATCGAGGGGGCGGGGAATTCCTTCCGATGAACCGCAGCTGCTGCACAATTAAAATGCATGACTATTGTCAAGGCAAATTGCTTGCTGTGACAATGGCAGAACAATTGAGTCAGGATAGGGCGGAAGTCGAGAGCACCAGCGCAGTGGTGGAAATTGCTGATGTGATTGAGCCCTATATGTTTATTTCAAACTTTTCGGGCTTTAAGCTATCCACTCACCACAGAACTTTGCATAAGCAGCAGCTGCGCTCACAACTTTCAATGTTTTTTTAGGCAGTTCGAGCTGTCACAAAAAGTTTGGCTGTAAAATGGACAAAATGAACAAAATAACCAGTATGCAATCGGGTGAAGCAAATTTAAACCTCAAGAAAGAAGGTAGGAATTTACAGAGTGTTTGAAATGTATCTTAAAGAAATCATATTGCTCCAAAAAATGAATTATTCGTAAAAAAAATAAACAAAATTCTGAAGAAATTTTCTTAAAACCAAAAAAAAAATTAATTTCAAATGTACTGGTTACAATAAATCTTTACTTAATCAATTTTAAAGTTAACTCCCTTAATAGTCTATTCTTAGATTTTTGATAATGCTTCCGAAATAAACTAGAGACATTACGGGATCGCCGCTTTCACTAAGCATCGGTGGTTCAGTGGTAGAATGCTCGCCTGCCACGCGGGCGGCCCGGGTTCGATTCCCGGCCGATGCAAAATAATTTTTTTTATTATTTCCGCCACAAAATATATGGAAAATATTAAAGGAAAATAAATGAAATTTGAAAGGAAATGAGTAGGCCATTTTGTTAATCCATTTCTCTTTAGAGTCACCAATGAATGCTACATCTAAACTGCCAGTCAAACTGAATGCCCACCAAGAAGCCATTAAAATGCAATTCACAAATGCACAATCCAGTCACACATCAACCTTCTTAGTGTTGTCCCCTAAGCAGCAGTCAACAATTTACATAACCACATGGCAGTGTGGCAGAATGCAGAATGGGCCACAACGGGTGAGGCAGTAGTTAAAATGCTACAAAATTATACATTAAATTCCGAAACTTGGCAACATCCGATGGCCAAACAATGGCCCCAAACAGCTGCCAGTGCGATGCACCTGAGCAAGGCCAGCCAAACAAACCGGCAGGAACAACAATAACAGGACTTGTTGGCCGGCTCCTGCCGGCTTGGTTAGCCAAGCCAACCAGCCACTTCCTGTTCTCCAGTTTAAGCCGCCACCGACCCACCGGCACGCACAGAGGAATATCCATATGCATATTTCGACCGGCAAACCAGACCCATGATTTTCACAAATGCGTGCTAGAGGTGCGAGAGCGTTGAAGGCAATAGATGATGCTAAGAAACTAAATAAATATATATAAAAATACTTCTTTTTTAATATTATAAATATTTTTAAGGGCGTAAACTGAAAAACATTTAAAGAAATTTAATATTTTATTAAAATTTTGAATGAGAATTATTAATTTGAATACCTTTTTAAAATAAATCTTAAATAAAAATAATAGGAAGATACCTTTATTCATTCCATACATTATTTTGATTAATAATGAATTTGTAGTTCTTAAATAAATCTTAAAGCATTACATTTAAATACATTCAAATTAAAAATAATAGTTCCAAGTAAAGTTACAACTTAAACTAAAAATGAAATTTAACTTATATTATTATTATCATTAACTAATTTGGTATAATTTAAAAGTGCAATATAATTCACAAATCAAATTAAAAAGTTTATTTTACATACTTGAAGTTCGAAATAGACAGCAAGCCAAGTAGTAGATTTAATTAAATTAAAAATTAATGTAAGATGAATAAGGCGATTATAAATAATTTCATATTTAGTGGCTTGAGAGATATGCAACTTCTTTTCAATTTTTAAATTTTAATATGTTTGAAATCGTTTCAAATGTTGCTGACTTTTCTAGAATTTAGCCAACGTACTCATCTCTAATCGCTGCACGCTTTTAATGGAGTTTGCACACAACTGGGTAGCCCTGGAAAACCCTAACGTGATGGCCGGCTGCCGGGCAGACACAAATAGGGTTTTTGGGTTAAACTGCAAGTTTTTGTTGACATTTAAATTTGCATGGCAACATTTTGGTCGCAGGCCGGGCGCTGTCATATTTGATGTTTCGGTTTTGCGACCGTAGGCGGAAGGGCGATGCCAACTGTCAAGCGGTTGGCTGGGTACATATGTGTGGGTGAATGTGTGCGGGTGTGTGCGGCTGTGTGTGTGTGACCAGCGAGTGTGTTTTAACTGGTTTTAAAATTGTTTTAATTAAGCCCGTATTGCGCATTGTTGCAGCACAGCTCTCCAGCCAGCGCATTCCCACTCAGCCGGGCTCATTCAATATTCAGCATATTTTTAAGTGCTTGGGCGCGGAAAAATTCCGTGATCCTAAAAGTATGCAACGCAAAAAGGAAATTGCAGTACGGTAAAGTTGTTGCTAAAAAAGAAAGCCGCGGGGCTAAAAAGGAAGGAGTAAAATGGCCATTCTGCTTTCTGCATTCTGCCCATCAACATAAACAGCTGTTTCCGCTAAGTGTACCTGGACACTCGAGGAGTTTTCCCACACAATACGAGTGTGTGTGTGTGTGTGTGTGTGTGGAAAATGACAATGCTCCTTTGTGGAGCGTCGAACGGACATGCACAAGTGGACAGCGGAAAATCGGAAAACGGGATAAGAGCTGGCTCAGTTGGTGGCATCGTCAAGGAAACGACGATGTCGTCGTTTGGTGGCCTGATGGAATTTTCTTCCGCCTTCTACCGGCAAAGTGGGGTCAAGTGTCACCAACGCCGAGCAAGATAGCGACAGGATTGGTAAGTAGCTTACAGCAGTTTTGGCTCAAATAATGTGGTACTTATCGTGTCAGATAGAAAATTAGAGGCTTTGAAGCCTTGCTTAGAAAAATTCTTTTACAAAAAATATTTCGCAGAGTTACTTTAAATACAGGAAAGCTTTTTTTTAGTAGATTCATACGGGCTTCCTGAATTTTAAAAACTGACTAATTTCAAATTAAAAACGCTTTTATGTAAAAAAGATATTATTATTTTTTTAATTACCATCAATGGGCACGTCATCCGGTCGATTGAAAACGGAAATTTCGGAAGCTCTGATATCTTTAAACAGGTCTAGATTGCACTCAAATATTACCTAGAAATCTATCTTACTTGTTTATTACATATAACAAGATTCTTAAGCATTTCAATTAATTATCAAAAATTTTATGATGATAATGTTACAATGACATTTATATATTCTCCTTTTTAAGCGATAAATATTTCAATCAAACCCTTAGATGAAAAAAAAATGTTCAAGTCGGGAAAATCTACGACTATTTAAAAAATTTAAAGTATTTCTCTCTGTGCAACAAATACTCCAGACACGTGCATATACACTGAAACCGTATGCATAAAAATGCACATGCAACGAACTACAGATCGATCGGATCACAACAAGTCCAAACAACGAAAGTGTTTATTTATAATTTACACCTCAAAAGCCAGCCAGTAGCATCAACAAGTTGCCCCAGTTCTGTGCCACGAAACGACGGCCCTAAGACCTTGCCCAAAGTGCCGGCATCTAATTTTAACATCGGAAAACGAAAACAATAGAGAATTGGAATCACAACAGTTGCCATATCTCGAGCGAAGTTCCAAACATCAACAGTGAAATAATAACCAAAATAAATCGAAAGCGCGATGAAGAGAAGACAAGATCGCTGGTCTTTGGCAATTGCGAGCTGCGAGAACCTAACAATTTCGAACACGAGAACTGAAAACCGTTTTTTTTTTCAGTTTCAGTTTTCGAAAATAGCCAGCAGAGCGATTTGAATACGTGAAGGAATCACAATCTATTCGGGAGACAGTCGCTGGCCAAACGCGACGCAACTGCGAGTGCAGCGGACAGTCGGTCGGTCCAACTATATAAAAATAAACCGAAAGCAAGAAGAAGCCGTCAGCGCAGGCTGTGCCAAAATAATTTCAAAATTAGAGTACATATAGTTCTGTGCGGTTGTTTGCGTTGTAAAATCATAATACGCCGATTTGAAAGAATAATAATAACAATATCCCAACATGAGCTCACTGAGCATGGGGCGAAAGGGCAGCGGCCAGCTGGAGGTTATGCAAAAGGCTGGCTGGAAGATCGATGGCGATGAGAAGGGTAAACTAAAAGTCTTCCATGCAATGTCATCCAAATAATCTGAATTTCCCCCCAAAAAAAAAACAGCCTGTTACATAGATGTCGATGAGGATGACGACCAGGACACCGAAGGAATGATTGAGTCGAAGTGGAGCTTACTACCTGACCTCATACTAGAGCAAGTCTTTACCTACCTCAGCCCCAAAGAGCGCTACTATGCGGGACTGGTGCGTATATAGAAATAGCACACAATCTGTTTATAAATTGGGTGCTTTATTCACATTAAAATAGTTTACAACATAGGCGTCTCAATATGACATTTAAAAATTGGTTTCTAGTTGAATTCAAAGTTCCCTTTTCTTTATGTATTATTAAAACGCTTCACCAATTTGTTTTGCCAAGTAAATCTCTAAAATTGATAATAATTTAAATTATTTGAGTGTCAACTCCCCAATAAATCTATTTTTAGGCGATTTAATAGAACAACTAACATAATATGGAGATTTTTGGGAATCCAGTTTGTCACCGAGCATCGGTGGTTCAGTGGTAGAATGCTCGCCTGCCACGCGGGCGGCCCGGGTTCGATTCCCGGCCGATGCAAAACAAATTTTTTTTTTTTTTTTTTAATCATGTTCATGTTAATCATGTCAGCCAACAATATATAATAATTTGGTTTCGAATTTATTTTATTCTGCTTTATAAACCTAGCATTCAATATCTAAGGATTCTTAACTCTTTTTTTTTTTAGGTTTGCCGCCAGTGGTATAGAGCTTTCTATTTGCCAAGTGTTTGGAACAACTTTTTGGTGGACGATCGCACACTGACCAAGCCTAAGTTTAACTACTACTCCGGCTGGCAATTCTGCCTCGATCATATGCGAACCCAGTACTGCCTGTCGAGAATCGGCAGATATATGCGAGGGATTGAGTTTCGGCCGTGGCACAGCTTCAACAACATCTTCCAGTTTATGACCATGCTGACCTGGAACATTGACAAGGTATTAAAATGATGGTAACATCTTTCCTATCGCATATTAATAATCGCAAACGCTTTAGGCCAATGAGGAGAATGCTGGACCGGAGTTTTTTGGCATGGGTCGCCGGATCCGCACTCTGGTCTACCACTTCCCGTGTAACATGTCGCAGCCCAACGATCCGGAGGGAATCAAGCTCTTCGGCACCGGAGGTCAGCTGCTGCGGGTTTTGAAGGAGCTGCTCCTCCGGCTGACGGACCTTCACACACTCAAGCTGGTGGACTTCGTACTGGAACGCTTCGAGGCGAATCACTTGCTGGACGAGGTCGTCTGCAGCTGCTGCACCAAGATGAGGGTTCTCAATCTGGTGAATGTGACCACGACGCACTGTCCCATCATGCATGTGGGTCTGTTCCTCAATCTGCAGGTGAATGCAATTGTACCGGATGTGTGCTATCACAGTGCTAAAAAAAGTTTTCGACTTAGGTGCTCACCATATCGCCGCAGAACATTGACGACGACGTTTTGTCCCTGCTGGCGGACACCAAATTGCGGCACTTGCACTTACTGCAAAACTGCTATACGCCAAACCACCTGACAATAAGTGCCTGCGGCGTGAAGGCCTGGCGCAATGTGAAGACAACCAATCCGCGCCTGCGTGTCCATTTGCGCGTGGAGAACCTGGCGGATGGCGAGGTGGTGCTGCAGCCGGAGGCGCCTGTCCACAGCATCACGTACTGCGCGCCGCAGGCACGGATACGGGCCGAGCTGCTCGTCCGCATGGTGGACCACTATAGGAACACCCTGGCAGTGTACGGCCACGAGCTCTTGCCGCGCTTTTCCAGCCCCAAGCCATTTCACAGCCGCATCGACAGTCTGATGTTGCTCTTGTGCCGGCAGTGCTTCAACATGGACACTCTGGTGAGTCTATATATGCAGTTCAAACAATCAGTTAGATGCAAAAAAAAACTACGATTGCGGCCGAAAGCTGTTGATAAGGGCTGTAAAGGTCTTTACAACCCAAGCGCTAGCCTCAATGAGAAAGTGAATCAGAGATATTGATTCATTGGGCATTAATTCCTTACCCATAACTGTTGTTAATATGTCAATTTATTAATGTTTGCCATAAAAACATCTGACGACAATCTTTAACTACATGACAGAAAATTCAAATCTTAAAAACAGATTGATCTTTAATGTACATATATCTGAAACTATTTTCAAATCAAATAATAAGCAAACATTATGCAAACATTTTTATAGAATTTTAAAATATTTATTCAGAGCAAGTTAACAATTTATCTAAAACAAGCATATATATGAAAGCCAAGGACAAATGTATCAAGGCAGGCCAATCTTTAATGTATTAATTATTTATTAATTAGTTAACATTAACTTAAATAAATTTAATTTAAGAGTTAGCAATAAGATGACCAATTTGTAGGGTATTTTTAATATAAGAGGCCCACTTAACACCCTATTGCCTTATCGCCCAGATCATCCGTGAGAAAGTCTCAACCTCGACGCTCCTGCTTATTGCCAAAACGGCCAAGAATCTGCAGCATCTCCATGTCCGACGATTTGCGGTGATTTTGCGATGCGACTGGCCAAGACATCCGGAATGGAGTGACGAGTTTAACACCTGGCTGAAGCGAAACTCCAGATCCTACGAGGCTGTTGAGCGGGAGATCTCACAGATCTTGGGCTGCAAATGGCAGCTGCTCAGCGATCGTGACTTCAAACAGCTGACTGTGAATGTTAAATCAGGAGCCTAGAATTCTCCAGTGTCCTCCCCCTAAGACTTGTGATAAACGGTGTAGAGCTTTAATAAATAACCCAAACATTACTATACAAGCGTACAGAAATATCGAAAACAATTAACAATTTGCCAGGGGGACAATGAAATTTACTTGAGTTTTGTTTCTGTTTGCACACCTTGTTGTGAAATATCCAAAATCCAGATGCCAAAATGGTTTAAAAGCCAATGCATCGGTGCAGGTGCATCATTTTGTAAAAGTGAGCTGCCAGAAACATGGATGCTGTGATCGCCCTCATTGGACTTTTGTTCATCATTGCAGCCGCATTTGCGGCTCCTCATTTTGGAGGCGATCCACATTACAATCCGCACCACGACTATCACCACGACTATCATCACGATGATCACCACGGTAGCCACTACGATCCGCATTACGATCACCACCACCACCATCATTACTGAAAAGTGTTGATTTTCAAAACAAAATATTTGATTGAATCAAAGAAAACAAATTATAATTTCTACAACTGTACTCAAATAAAATAAACTCACAAGAAGGGTGTTTAAAATTCAAAGACCAAATTGTAATCAAACAAATTTTAGTAAATTGCAAGAGAGAGATTGCCAAAATCTCGTATGTGATATAAAGCAAATATCGGTAACAATTGTCAATTTGCATTTGAGGGGGAAATACAACTCACGGAGTAATTCGCACCTTTCGGCCGGTGAAATTTAATTCATTTTGTTTGCACGCGCTAAGGTTGAAATTCCCAAAAACGTAATACCCCCAAAGGCATAAAAGCCAGCAGCATCAGCTCAGATTTGTCAGTTTGCTAAGAAATCTTGCCAGAGACATGAAAGCTGTGATCGCTCTTATCGGTTTTGTATTCTGCATTGCTGGAGCAATGGCAACACCTATTGTGGTGGGATTACCTCTTCCGCTGCCAATTGGCGTGGGATTCGGAGTACTTCCACCGCCTCCACCACCGTCCTACAACTACTATCCGTACCCACATCACCACCACCATCACCATCATCCAGGATATGGATACGATTACGGATACGGAAACTATGGATATTAGGAATACGATGCGTGAGAGTGAAAATTTGTTTAAGATTAAGGCGCAAGCGTAAAACTTATGAAAACCTTGATATATCAAAATAAAACAATATTTATTTTATATTATTTATAAAAAAATGTTTAAAGTTTTTTTTATTATTTTGTTATCTATTTATTAAATTGCTTCTATGTAATTCCTTCTATTTTATTGTCTTTTAGTTTACGTCCATCCAATTAATATATACTTACTTCTTATATTTAAGAAATATTTGCTTGGGAAAAGTGTTTTTTAAACTGAGTTTTCATTTGTTTGCTTAACTGTGTTTTTTGAAGATAGATTTATTCCAGCAAAATTCTTTATAAAAATAAAGTTAACAAACGAACAATGTATGTGTTTCAGAAACATATTAACATATTGTTTAGGTTATCACAATATTATGTCGTTTCCATACCTATGGCTTTTCTCGTGAAAGCTCAGCTTGGATTTGCCAACCAAGTGTGCTTCGTGCCGTTGGTCAATTTATGGGAACTTGCCATAATCAGCCCACATTCTTTTACCACAAAGCTCTCTCGATGTTGAAGCTTCCGAAGCTTGCCCTTTGCATTTGGCTTGCAACAACGACCTTGAATTCGACAAAGGCTACAAAAGCAACAACCTGAAGATGGGGTTGGTTGGGGTAGTGAATCAATGCAGCCGGAAAATTCAATGTCAGTGCCAAAGCTCGGGCGGCATTAAAACGCCTCCGAAACGAAACGGTATACTTTCGGGCACTCAGCCACATTACGTATACGTCGTTGGACGACAGTGAAAGGTGGGTGAAAGATGGGTGAGCGCTATTGATGCGATAAGCGAATAAATATTAAATAAAAATCAGAGACGAAGAAAGCAGGCGGTGCTCGTGTGGCGAATGAGACAAATTTAGCCAAGACTGACCGATCCGAACCGCGTGTCGCAGGAGATACTCGTTCTCGGCGGAGAGCAAACTGTTGCTGCTGATTCTGGTGGTGCTGCCACTGGGCCTGAGCCACTGGGTGGCTGTGGTGGCGCTGGTGGCGGTGGTGGCAGTTTTTGTTTGGCGGGCGGCGGTGCCAAATGATGATCGTGACCGCGTAAAGACGCAAATAAATATAATTGAAACACCACCAAACTATAAGCAAGACAAACCTGACGGCGCCGCGAACCAAATAAACCAAATAAACCAAATAAACCGAATAAACCAAATCAACCAAATAACAGCAGTGCGGGCATTGTGTAATTGCAACGGCATTGCGATGAACAAAACGATTCTGCACTGGAGCTATCTGAACTTCAAGGATGTGCCCATGGATCTCTTTCTGTACGAGGATCTCGAGGAGGTCTACCTCAAGGAGAACTTCATCTCGGTCATACCCAAGTGGCTGCTAAACATCACCACACTCAAGTTTATCCATTTGGCAGGCAACAATCTGAGCGAACTGCCCGCTGACATCTATTTGCTGGAGAACCTCGAGTTCCTCGACGTGTCCAACAATGAGCTCAAGCAGCTGCCCCCCACTCTAGGTCTCCTTTTGAGTCTCCAGCAGCTGAATGTTTCGGGCAATCAACTCGCCGAACTGCCAGTGGGTGAGTTGGACCCATTGAGTAGGACCTTTATGGAGCTTACACCTTTACATCCCCTTTCAGAGCTGAGCAACTTGCGCAATCTGGAGCACCTGAACATAGCCAAGAACCAATTTCGCCGCCTGCCCATTCAGCTGAGCGAGTGCATCCGTCTCAACGAGCTGAACGTGAGCGACAACGAGGCGCTGGTCCACATTCCCGAGCGCATCTCCAACCTGCCCATGCTGCAGTCCCTCGCCGCCGATCGTGAGTAAACCTGTCGACCGGGGATCATCTCGCCGATCATCGATCTCTCTTTCTCGGCAGGCTGTGCTCTTGTCTACCTGCCGGCCGCCCTCTCCAAGTTCATGAACCATGTGCGCATCTTCCACAACACGGCCATCAACTATATACCCATGGTCTACGAGAAGTTCTACCAAAACTTCTACGACAACCGCCAGAGGAGCACTCCCATGTAAGAAGTTTCTTTTACTTTTTTTTTACAATTTTAAGGATGGCATAGATTTAAATAACTTGCCAGTTGATTGATCATTATGCCTTCCCGTTTGTAAAGAAATATTTGGCTATGAAATCCTATCTACGTAGCTAAAATATCACCCGAAAATGTTTGTCGATAAAGAAATGGCGAATTTTTTGGCACGTTGCCTTTGGGAATGACTAAGAGAATTTTTAAGAGCACAGCGACATTGGTTAAACAATTTTAACTAAAGCATAAAGACTTTTATTTATAAAGGATCAACTGTTCAAACTTTTATTGATGAAATATGTTATAAGGAAATTTTTAAAGTTTAATTAAGATTAAATAATAGCTGCTTATCTAGCTTATATAGAACAAATTAAATGCTTTTGTTGATGGTCAAATTTTGTTTTAGTACTCAATTGAGCTTAGTTCAAAAGATATTCATAGATTTTTTGCAAACTTTCTTTTTAGCAACTTATTTAACTCGATTTCCTTCCTTTTTTTTAATATCTAAATGAAGTTAGTAACACCAACATAACCATTTTTTTTTTATTTTAACAGCGCCGTTCGTCGAAAGGGTCTGTTTTGGGTGCGCGAGCTAGAGACGAACTCCAGATTGGTGCTTCCGGTGGGCACCCGCACAGTATTTCCGGTTCCGTCGGCGGAGAACCGGGTCACGCTCTACGACGACTGCCTGCACGCCCTCCAGTCGCTGAACCGCTCCGTGCCCGTCTACGAGAACGCCGCCCTGCACCGCCTGCTCCCGGAGCCGTACATCGGCGCACACATCAACAACGGACCCATCGCCCGCTGCACGACTTCCACCTGCTCGAGCTGTCTGTACACCTCGTACTACTTCATGGTCGTGAAGAGGTGGGTCGGAGTTGCGTTGGTCATGTGGTCATTGTTTTGGTACCGCCGCAACCGGTCCGCTTCCTAATTGGGGCACATGGACCTATCACAACCGCAAGAAGTACAGTGCGAACTGCCTACTTCGAATAGGCAGACATTTTAATTTAATTTTTTACTTATACCCATATTTTTAAAAGTTCGATGGCTATTGTTCAGAAAAGCAACTCAACTCTTAACGTAAATAAGTTATAAAATGAATTTAAAATCAGATGTGAACATTTACAATTTCCATGCTTTATTTAATACTTACGTAATTTATATTCACAATTATACATTATTGTATAAGGTAATAATGTTCGATAAGTGATAATAATTACAACTATTTAAATAAGAATCTAAGTTCTTAGCAAATGAGTAAGCAGGAAGTGAGACCCACCTACATTTCGAGTAAACCAAATTCCATTTTAGATTAATTTTCAAATATTTTATTTTTTACTTTGTGTTAGTTAAGTTTTTGATTCTAGTTTACATGCAAAGGTAATGAATTTTCCAAAAGTCAGATTTCCAATCGATTTTAATCCAATTTGAATTAGATTACTCATGACTTTTGAACTTTCTTCCATGAATAACCAATATTTCTAATTCCCAATATTATTGTAATTACTTTTTGTAGGCGTGGTAGCACCTCCAAGCAGCTGTTCACCTGCAATTTCTGCACCAACCGGTGTGCTCTGCTCTGGTTGGCCAGCAATGACAAAAAGTACTACCAAGTGACTTGGCGAGTGTCCGATGATGATGACGACGACGCCGATGCTGCACACGTGTCCAGTGGCAAGTAGAGCTAATGGATTTCGCCTGACCTCATTGTACTATATATATATAGTCATACATGTATAAATATTTAATTATTATCTTTAATTACCATTAATTAGTTTTGTACATGTCATGTAAATGCTATTGAACAACTGGCAACCGGCGCCATTTGTTCAAAGAGAAAGCTCGCGCGAAATCTAAAACTAGGCCTTAAAGAAAACTCTGTGTGGGTCCCCGTTCATGGAGGTGTACGTAGTCGTCCAAAACGCAGTGATGGGCCTCTGGAAAAGCTCTGCGACAGTGGACGCCATGTCGACCCATCCTATAGGCATCCAAATAACGCCTGTCCAGCGTTCTATGTGGTCTAATGGGTTTTGTGGCATTATTTCTGTTCTTAGTTTAGACTAAAGTCAGCTCACCTTAACAGCCTGTGCAGCAATTGCGCATAGAGACCACTGTGCTCGTCCACCTGACCATTCTCGCAGATCAGTCGCTCCAGACAGGCCCTGCCATTCTGACCCAACTGATTCATATAGTTCTCGGCGAACTTGAAGAGCAACAACTGCGGCTCATCCACCGAAAGACGAACTGGAATCGATGGAGCTGCTGGCTGGTTGGCCAAAGGACCCTTAAGATTTCGGGAACTGTCCCAGAGTTTCCACCAGTAGATGGGCGTTTGCGGCTCACTAAACTGGTAGTGGAAGTTCATCAGCCAGACCAACTGTCGCCAGACCTTTTTCTCCATAAACGGCACTGGAAATGCACAGCCAGAAACAAACTGTAAAGATACAAATCGATGTTTATCCTATACCCTGAATAAATATTTGATCTATAACCTTTACAACGCCACCGTTCTGATAGACCAGGAAGCGCTTCTGTCGCCTGTGATGTCGCCATGCCGTGAGATTGGCGTCCACGGCAGCCGCCGTTTCCAGGATCACAAGGAAAACTATCATCTTGGCTCTAAATTGGAGGTTCACTTGTCAGTGGGTATCAAACATTTACCGCTTCACGGTTCAGTCAACTCACAATAGGTTCATTTTGCCGCTTCTTGTGCTGTCCGCTCGAGCTCTTGTCAGCGTTTACCGCCGAGATTCGAACAGCTTCAGTGTCTTGGCATCGTTATAAGATGCTTTGTTAGCCCAGGTAGATGGGCATATGGGTACGGCTTTGAGTTGGAGTGAGATGTGAGAAAAAGCACGTGCTTCGGTGGGTTTCCTACTTATGCCTGCCCGACTAATTAGCGAGCACTGCGTCTGCGACTTCAGCCTACTGTGGCCATGACTCTAGAAAGTCATAGGACCGCTTTCAGGTTCAAAGACAATATGGGAAGTAGGTGTGACATGAGTCAACTACAGGTGGCACTGTCTCTTGAAGGTTGGTTAAGCTTAACGAGAAGATAGAGTGATACACTTAACATGGGTAAGTGTTGGTATATAGAATTTTTTTAGCTTAACACTTTTATGATCTGAGACGAAATTCCAAGTTGTCGCCCTTAATTGCAAATATAAAAAAAGGATCAAAATTGTAGCTTACGGTTTTTTATTTGCGCTATTTTTAAATTTAAAATTCATAAAAAAAATTTCATCAAAATAGATTTAAATCGAAAGTTATTTTTGTTGCTCTATTAATCCAATTTAAATCTTATGAAAACAAATGCTTGTATTGTGCGTCACAAAAGAACCTAATGAGTTAATAACTTAGCACAATTAATTAAGTCTTGGCTATGTGGAAGTAGAGGCAGTTCAAAACCCTCCATGGAAATCTCTAGCAGTTGCAGTTAGTTGGCTTATGGTTATGGCTTATGCCAAAAGTTAATCTTGTTGCCATATTAATTTAATTTAAATTCCATTAAAAATATCTATGTTAGTAAAATAACTTAAAAAAAACATCCATAACATGATGAGAAAATTTCAAAATTAGGTTTAAAGTTGTTTTTATTGCTCTATTAATTTGGTTTAAAATTTAAGAAAAAAAGGGATAAGTACATCTCCAAAAGGCTTAATAAGTTAATAAGCTAGCACAATGAATAAGTAGAAGTAGAGGCTGTTCAAAACGCTCCATGGAAACCACTACCAGTTGCAGTTAGTTGACTTGTTGGCCAGTTGACTTTTCGGGCTGCCATGGCGAGCTGGCATTGCCATAGTTGCGTTTGTTCCATTTATCGAATAGCAGCGGAAATGTCGAAGCACTCGACCAGTCCAGAATTCTGTTGCGTGGCGTTAACTGCCACAGAATTGATTTTGGCTTCGAGGCAAATGTAACCATAACGATTTGGCAAGGGAATTGGCAACAAAATTACATTTTGGAATATCCAAAGGAGTGCAAAATTATCCGTGACGATGATGCGACTTCCTGGAATGCCCATGCTGCCGGGCGCGCAATTCTACGATGTGAGTGGTACAGTGGAGTGTCCCTTATGCGTTAACCTAAAACCTTTTCAACAGCGTGGTAAGCGTCGTCATCCGAGGCAACAGACACTGATGCACTACCAGGGCATCCAGATGCTCTCGGACCGTCGCGAACCCGAACTGGTGGAGCCCAATGGCATCGTGGCCGACCCAAAGTGTCCGCCCGTGCCCGCCCAGCTCAACAGCCTGTGGGCGCCCAAGGCCACCACCAAGCTGCCACCCTGGCTGGCCTACGACAAGCAGGTGCTCTGCTTCAGCGCCTACTTCAAGGAGAACCTCACCGAGGTCTACCACGCCCCCTACCAGGTGCGCAAGGTGCGCATCTACTTCTACCTGGAGGACGGCACCATGCAGGTCACCGAGCCCAAGGTGGAGAACTCTGGCATTCCGCAGGGCTGCCTCGTCCACCGACAGCGCATCCCGCGGGCCCCGCCCACCGACCGCGAGTTCATCTCCATCTTCGACCTGAACGTGGACACGGACATCCAGATCTTCGATCGGGTCTACCACATCAGCGGATGTGACGTGTTCACGCGCCAGTTCCTCAATCGAGCCGGCATCTTTGTGCCCGAGGCGCAGCAAGAACCAAAGTAAGATGATGGCCAATTATTATTAACTTAGTTTTCTTTAAATAAGTACATGTTTAAAAAACTATTTATTTATTCCAAAGTCTTTAAACAGTTTCCAAAAAAATAGTAAAACATTACGACTACTACGTTACGTACTACGTACTTTAGACATTCCTCTAAATTTTATAATTTATTGAGCTTTCAAAAAATTTTGTACATGCTTTTGTAAGCAAAACTGTGATTTTTGATATTTATATAAACATCACCGTTTTATTTGGAACACCATTTGTGTATTTGGAACTTTACAAATATCTCCTAAAACATTCTAGACATTCCTCTATATACTTAAACTAGCTTTTGCCAGCAAAAATGTATTAATTTTTGCATATTTATATAAAAATCAAGGCTTTATCTGGAATTCCATTTGTCTTTTAGGAACTTTACAAAATGTAATAATTTTTTACGAAAGCTCCCTATCTTTTAGTCGAAAAAAGATATTTTGTTTTTGTATTATTTTTTAAGTATTTAAACTTTTTGTTATTTTTCCTTAGTGATCCAACCACGGAGATCCGAAAGCGTTCCGGTTTGAAGCAGACTGCTGGCTCCTGCTCCTCGGCTGTGCCCAAAAAGCACTCGTTCGCCCAGTTTCTGGAGTTCGACAGACGAGTGCTCAAGTTTCAGGGATATTGGAATGACCGCAGCGAGTTTGGTGATGTGCGGAAGCTGGAGATTTGCTATTATCTGGCCGATGACACCATTGATATTAAGGAGAAATTCCCGCGAAATTCTGGTCGCGAAGGACCCAGTACCTTCCTGAAACGAGGTAAGCTGCCAAAGGAGTTCTCGGGACTCCCGCTGCCGGGTCAACAGACGGCCTTGACACTGCTCAATGTGCTGGGCAACAGTATGCGCGACGTGCGTTACGTAGCCGACCCGTTGAACACGGGCCAAAAACAGGAGCAGTACTACACCGACCAGGATTTGCAGATAGGGGCCACTTTAAATGTCTTTGGACGGGCTGTCATCCTGACAGGCTGCGACCAGTTCACCCAGAGTTACTACAGGGAGAAGGTGAGTGTGTTAATTAAAAATCTATTGAATTTAATAATCATTTTCTATACCTAACCTTCTTAAGTATGGCATTCAGGAATTTTGCGCTCAACCCATACCAGAACGAAGCGATATTAGACCTTATACTCAAGGTGGCATGGCATCCCGTCGACTGCCACCGTACAATGGCTGGGGAAGCCACGAGGATTCCGAGGGTAACTGCATCACAGTGGAGCCCAAGCCACCGCAGGCCGACTTCAAGAAGCTCTTCAAGTACGACGGTTGCATCCTGCGCTTCGGAGCCAAGCTCATTTCGGCCATTCGGGACAATGGGGAACGAGACTTTGTCATCAGTTACTTCCTGGCCGACGACACGGTGCAGATCTACGAGTCGTCACGTCGGAACTCGGGCTTCCTGGGCGGCGAGTTCCTCAAAAAGGCACGTGTTCCTCTACCGGGTCAAGATATGTTCAGCTCCTCGCGACCTGAGTATTATAAAGCCAACGACTTCTACATAGGACGCACTATGACTCTGAAGGATCACATCTTTCACATTGTTTCGGCTGATGAGTTTACACTAATGTACATGGAACAGCATCCCAGCGAGGTAAGCGTATCATGATAATAACACTTTGAGTTACAGTTCTTAATACCAAAATCAAGCTAAATCTGAAGGGATCATATTTACAGCGAAGAAACGCTTCTTCATTCGATTAGGCAATTTGTTAAGTTGATACAGTTGAACAGTTCTTAAATGATTTGCATAGATCAATAGTTTCTTATGCACCCGTAAGAAACCACGTACATATAGTTTAGAAAATTGGCAATGAAAAGAAACTAGGGTTTTGTTATAGTATCCAACTTTTAAAAAACATACAAAATCCCAACTAAAAAGGTTTTTCTTTCAGTTCCCCGTGGCCGACATACGGCTGATAATGCAGAAGATCCGCGACGCAGTGCGTCCCGATTATAAGCAGTTTGTGCTGCGCTGCAAGCCGGATGGTGACCTCGGCGACTTCACCACCGTCAGCTTCGACACCCTGCGCTCGACCCTCCAGTCCTACCTGTCCAAGGAGTGCCTGCTCAACCACGAAATAGTGACCGTGTGCCGCTACTTCTCGGCTGAGCAGGCAATGCCCCCCAGTTGCGACAGGAATCGAGTGCGGGCGGCCGCCCAGCTGGAGCTGAAGCGGAACTTGTGGAACGGCGTGGAACAACTGAACGACCACCTGAGCCACATCAATCCGGCCTGCAGGCCGTACATCAGCGAGTCTCAGGTGCGATCCACCCTGCGAGGCTGCCGGCTGCCCTTCAGTCTGGAGCTCGTGGAGGACATCCTGATGGTGCTGCAGCGCAACGGGCAAAACGAAATCGAGGTGCGTGACTTCCTGGCCTTCTTCAACATGCGCAGCGACCAGGTGCCCGACATTGCTCCCCTCAACATCGCCTTCGAGCTGTGCCCCAAGCTGCCGTTCCTGCACAAGGGCCGTCTGGTGGACTTCACCTGGTTCCTGGACTACCTCGGCCTGGAGGAGGAACTGAAGCGTGCCAACAGTTAGGGAGTCGAGAAGGAGGCGCTTATCAAAAATTGCATGTATATACAGAAAAATTCGTGGCAATATAACTTTCGGAATGGTGAACTTTGTGCTTAAGACCTAGACATCGATGGTGGTATCCTACAGCTTGGACTCGGTGAGCCAGTTGAAGGACTGCGGCTTGCGGTCGGACGACGGGCTGATGGCCACATTGATGATGGTCGGCCTGTCCGTCAGCTGGTTGGCCGCCTTCACAGCCGCCTGCAGCTGCTCGATCTCCGTGCAAAAGTAGCCCTGCATGCCGAACATTTTCATCATCTCCTCGTAGCGCACCTGAACGCCCAGCGCCGATGGTGGTGTGCTGCAAGATAAGATTAGGCCGAATAGACCGCAAGTAGTAAGTAGTTGTACCATGTACCAGATACCAGGCCGATAAGCGGCGAGCGCACTCACATCTGGGTCAAATCACCCTCACTGCGAATGGCCTCGAAGGTGTCCTTGTCGAAGCCGCCGTAGATGCCGTTGTTGTTCACGATCACAATGGTCACGGGCAGCTTGTAGCGCACCATGGTCTCGATCTCCATGCCGGAGAAGCCGAAGGCGCTGTCACCCTCCACGCACAGCACCCGCTTGCCGGGGGCAAAGTCGCGGCAGAAGAGCGCTGCGGCCACGGCGAATCCGGGACCCACTCCCATGGTGCCAAAGGTGCCGGCATCGAGGCGATGGCGCGGCTGCTCGTTGAGCAGCATGGAGCGACCAATGTCCATGGTGTTGGCGCCCTCACTGACGATGATCGTGTCCTTGGGCAGCAGCTCGCGCAGGTGGTGGAACACCGCATAGTAGTTGAGCGGCGTCTCCGTGTTCAGCGACATCTTCTGCACGGTGTCGCGGTTCTGCTTGCACTTGACGGCCAGCTGCTTCCACCAGTCCTGCTCGTAGCCAAAGCGGAAGTTCACGGCGTTCATCTGCTCGAACAGCTGCTCGGCGAAGGGGCGGATGTCCGCCTGGATGGCCACTGAGGCCACCACCGAGTTGTGCAGCTCTTCGGGATTGATGTCCACCTGGATGAACTTGACGTCCTTGTCGTAGCGCGGCGCCTTCCCGAAGTGCAGGATCCAGTTGAGGCGTGCGCCCAGGAGCAGCACCACATCGGCCTTCTGCAGCGCCAACGTGCGGGCCGAGGAGACGCACTGCGGCGCCGTGTCGGAGACCACGCCCTTGCCCATCGGCGTGGGCAGGAAGGGCAGGTTGGTGTTCTCGATGAAGTGCCGCAGCGTGTTCTCGGCATGGGCGTAGGCGGAGCCCTTGCCCACGATCACCAGCGGTCGCTTGGCCTGGCGCAGCAGCTTGGCGGCCCGGATCACATCATCATGTGGGGGATAGGCTAGTGGCGGAGCCGGATGCGCCAGAGCCTTGTAGATTCGCGACTCTTCAGCCTTCGACTGCAATATGTTGCCGGGGAAGTCCAGATAGGCCACGCCAGGGCGTCCGTAGGTGGCATACCGCACCGCCTTCTCCACATGCAGCGGAATGAGGGCGGCGGTGGCCGGACGAGCGGCGTACTTGCAGTACGGCCGAGAGAGCTCCACCTGCGGGCACTCCTGGAAGCCGCCGATGCCTTCGTGATCCTGGTTGGTGGCTCCACCGATGACAATGAGGGGCCAGCAGTTGACCTGGGCATTGGCCATGCCACCTGGTTGGCAAAGGGAGTGGTTAGTAACTATACAGGTCTCATTTGCGTGCAGCTCCTACCTGTTACATGGAGCAGTCCGGGTCCGGAAACCACCAGGCAGACTCCCGGCTTGCCAGTCAGATAGCCAATGGCCTGGGCCGCATAGCAGGCGGCCTGCTCGTTCCGCATTCCGATGTACTTCAATCCGGCGGCCTGGAAGGCCATGGACAGCTCGATGACCGGGATGCCGATGATGCCAAAGACATACTCCACGCCCTGTAGCGGATTACAGATAATTTAGGGTTATTTATATCGACCACTTGGGCATCGATCAGATATTAAGTCACATCACTTGGTCAATTTATAGACCAAATCAGTAGGCAATGTGCAAACACGTCCTCAAGTGATTTGCCCGGAATCCGGTTAAAGTTTTATTGATTTTAATCTGAACCCCCGGGGGTAATCGCCGCTGTAGGCAGAGGGGGTGTTTGGGTCGTGGTCCCAAACCTTTGGAACACGGTCTTTATCAAATTATTAACGGGAGTAATCGGGGAGGTGTTTTTGAACTTTGCACAACAAACAGGTGCCTCCAGATAAGACCACACTCCATTGTTCTCGCCAGCTCCGCAGATTCCACAATTCCCTATAGCCAAGATATACACTTCATTACCCCCTGCAAGTGCATATATGTATGTATGTATGTACATATATAACTGCATTGCCAAAATGTCGGACAGATGGACAGACTGAGGGACGGAGCACCAGGTGATCCTCTTACCTGTTGCTTCAATGACTCGGCAATTATCTGCACGGCTTCAACCTCGGCCATTTTGCGCGCTTTTTTGTGGTATTTGTGCTAAAAGTGTTTTTTGCGGCGCCGCGTTGCCTTGCGTACTGGCCGAAGAATTTGTTAAACAAATTAAAATGTAGAGTCCAACAGAAGCGGTGACCGCTATCGATGCATCGATGGTTTCTATTTCGTTACATATCGATTGCTGCAACTATCGATGTTTGCCACTAGTGTGACCGTATAATAAAAGGGTGAATAACACATTTTTAAATTCCGTTTTGTTTGTAAGTGTAAACAACAAAAAGAAATGACGTTTTTTATAAAAATGTAAAATAGGAAAAAAGCATTATCTTTAAAACTTCTGTTACAACATTAATTAAACTAATTTATTACTTTATTTATTTTTCATTCTCACATAATTTATTTGCTTCCTGTTTATTTTTTTTCATTTTCGATATCAGTCTACTGGTAAAGATTGTGTTTTTAATTAAAGAATAACTAACGGAAATAAATTTCATGTTTGTCATTTTGATGAAACGGTCACACTTTCAGCAAAATGACGACAATAAAATATCAACGACAACCTTGTTATCGATATCTCTGCTTCTGACTTTGCCGCGTACTTTTGAATTTTCCTTAAGTTAAAATCCCAACCTAGTGTTATATTGAATTTTCGCTATAGTCGATTGGAACACCTGCATATTTATTTAAGCAGCTATTCCAGTGTAACATTTTTTAAAAATTGATATATTTGAAGAAAAACGAATAATTTTATTGCCATGCCTGTCTAGGCAGCTGAGCCTTCTGCAGTTGATAATTGACATACAAGCGATAAGTGCAGAAGTAAAAAAACTCAACCACAGATATCATGCTCAGTCCCAAGCAGAGATTGAAAATGCCACCCAAATCCGCTGAAAATGACTGTTGTTATTTCCTCATTAATAGAAAAGATTTATTTACTTACATAGCAGTCCTATCCATGACATAACGGTCACTTTCCGGATTACGGGGACGACTTGCTTGGCCAAATAGACCCGAAGTACGAAACTGTCGCTGTTGAGCAGCTCCTGCGAGCTTTTGGGAAAGGATTTAAGCTGTAGGATCCCATAAAGTAATCATTACTCACTAGTATCGGTTCACTGAGAACTGGTGCTGGTTAAGATCCGTCCTGTAGGAAAGCGTCGAGTAGGTGACATCGTAGCAATTGGGCAGGCACTGGTCACATCGCACGCTCTTGAAGTTGTCTGAAAAAAGGGAAATTAAGATGATTTATTTGAGTTGGTCTTACAGTATTTACAGTTTTTACAGCTGATGCATTTAAAACGCGAAATGTAATTTCAAACATGAATTTCAGAATATTACATATGATCGTGCATCTTTTACCCAAGTTCGGTTTTTCTTAAAATCAAAAACATAACTTGATAAAAGATTTTTTAATTAAAAAATAAACAGTTTAAAAATATATTTTAATAACTAAAAAAATTCTTATGGTTCCTTTAATGCACCTTTACCGTATTTCCTTTGACAATTTCTAGTTCTAATTTCTTAAAACGAGTTTATAAAATGAAGACTTTTTGAAATAAATTGTATTTTTATTTTAGCCTCTGGGTGTATTTTAAATATATAAATAAACTGAAAAAATATTAATAATATCAAGGGTTTTTAATGTTTTTAGTTTTAACACTTTAAATGGAGTTTTTTGTTTTGAAAGCCATTTGTAGTTTGAGTACTACTATTTAAATAAATCTCTCTCAAAAAAGTTTAAGTATTGAATATTGGGATGCACTACCTAATGTTGAACAATTCGTTAAAGAATAATTTGTAAGAAATAAATAAGTTATAGATCCTTAACCCAGCTAACCAGAAAAGATATGGGCAAAAGTCTGCTTAAGCTAACCCACCATAGTTGTCCGAGTAGCAGAAGGTGTCGTTCAGGTTGCACTCCTTGAACTTGTTGCCCTCGATGGGCAGAAGGTACGGATGGCAGCCGCACTTCTCCACAATGGCCTCCGTTTGGCAGGCGAGGAGGCAGGCGGCCTGGCGATAGTTCCTCAGCTGCAGGTCGTCCGAGATGAGGCAGTCCCGCTTCCGCTCCGAGAGTTCCAGGACCTCGGCCGAGGAGCTCTGCACCGTGGGCGAGACCTCCACGAAGCTCTCGGATTGGGCTGTGATTGTGACCGAGGCGGCGGACTGCGTCACATAGTCCATGGGATGGTGCACCAGGACGATGAGGCCGGTGTTGAGGTTCCGTTCGCTGCCCTCCGCACCCACAAAAGTCAGACCTCCATCCATGCCGAAGATGTTGGCCGAGAAGGGCACAAAGCTGGCATTGCGCGGATTGTAGTTGAAGGAGCAGCAGGGACCCAGGTAGGCGGTGGTGGGAATGAACGACAAGTACTCGTGGCTCTGGTTGCACTGGAACTCCGTGTGGCCCCAGAAGCACCGCTTCACGTAGTCGTAGCATCCCGGACTGACGGCCATGGCCGCCTCCCAGGTGCTCACATTATTCAGCCGGAGTACGGCATCGGTGGCTCGATAGCTTTCGTGAGCCGGAGGCTCAAAACTCTGGTCCGTAAAGGCGTTGAGAAAGTCAAAGCCAGCAATCACCTCAGCAATGTCGTACTCCTTGGGAATCTTGCTGAAAAAGAAACACCTCTTATGACCCAATCCCCAGGGATCATCACCATTCTACTCACAGCGTCTTGACATATCGATCCACCCGCTCCGAGTTGACCACCTTGGGGCTGCAAATGGTCACGCCCGGAAAGGCAACGTCCGTGATGGAGAGGTCATTGGAGATGGTGTTCAGGATGGGGTACGAGTAGAACTTGAGCCACAGCAGCAGGGTGAGAAAGATGCTCAGCAGGAGCAGCTGCACCAGAACCGAGGACCAGATGAACCTGGACAGGCCGTGGGTGCGATTCCTTCGCATCAGCCACATGCCGCTCAACTTGGTCCGCTCCGTGTACTCCCAAAAGGTGGCCATCATGGCATCCTTCCATACAGATGGCTCTTTCCTCTTCTCCCTGGAGCCACTGGTCTCGGAGGTCCTTTTGCCAGGTGTTGGCCACTTTCCCGGTTCTATCATTGCGTACTAACTTGTGATGACACACAATGCGCAGGCTTTTATAGGTAAGTATGGTGTCCTTAATGCCCCAAAGTTTGGGTGCTAATTATGGGTTGGTAAAGTGGCTAACTTGTCTGGAGAAAGTATCTCATTTGTTGTGGTCATTAGTGTTCATTAAAGAATCGATGATATATATCTTGTAAGCTCGTCAGTAATTATTTAACACATAAAAAGGAACAGCCGTAAAAATATATAAATAATGTTTTTCTTGTTAAACCTGCTTGTGAGTGAGATATAAAAATTAAAATAAATAATTACAAATACAGTGAAACTTCCATAGCAAAGTCTTTAAAAGTGGGAGTATAAATGCAAGTTAAGTTTAGTTGAAAGTCTCCAAAACTACAGTTTTTTCCATGGCATTATGGATGTTTTTCTTAATTTTCTATTAATGTATTTACAAAATATTTCAAAGCTGCCATTTTGGCTACTTAGAAAAAAAAATATAAGAAATTTTATGATATACTTCTAAAAGCGACAGCCCACTAATAGCCATATTATAATTCCACACATTGTCTGTGAGTAACCAATATAAATCTAAATTTATTGTGAAATTTCTAATAAATGGCGTTTCGGCTTAACTCGTAGCCCAGTAAAAAGTCGTATAGACGTGAAGCTAATTCGGAATTAAAAACGGGAATTTGTTGGGTAGAAATGTCCTCAAACTTGATTAGCATTTGGCTAATAATGAGTGTCAATTTCGTTTTTTGCCCGACTGCCTAATTGAATAAAGTTCTGCAAAAAAAGCGCAACCAGTTCGCCAAAGTGTTTTCTACCAAACCAGGCTAAGGTCGTTGTGCCGAACTGGTTTCAACCTCACCTGATGCGTGAATCAGAACTGCCGTGTGCTAAATGAAACCATCATTGTCATTAATAATAAATACACGGCTAAAGCTTTAATAGGACTCTCCATAAACAAGTACGCATCGCAGTTATGGCATAATACTAAAAACACAACATCACAGGTGATTGCCAGGGCACAAACTACAACTTTGTGTTGACAATATCCTCGCGAGACTCGGTGGTCTCCACCTCGTTCCACTTCTGGATCTTTCCCGATCCGAAGACCCAGAAAAATAGGGCGGGCAATATGTAGGCAGCGGCTCCAATGATGAAGATCCAGTGCCACTGATCGATCGTGTTCTATGGGGCAAGGGAAATTGGGTATTAATATTGATAAAGTGTTTTAAGAAGTGCTCAAGACTTACCTCGTTCTTCGTGAAGGCGGCCACAATCAGGGGCGAGAATATTCCCGGAGTGGTGCCCACGCAGTTGATGATTCCGTACAGCGTGCCTGCATAGTTGGGCGCCAAATCCTGCGAGTTGGCCAAATTGGAGGCAGTGGCGGCACCGTTGAAGCCCAGCGATATGGTCATAATGGCCACACAAACGTAAGGATCGCGACCAAAATAGGCCAGGATAATCAGCATCACACCAGGCAGAATGTGAGCTAAGCCAGATGAAATAAGAACATTATATTATACAATACTTTCAGTTTAAAGCTTTCAAGGACACTTACAGGGCAGACAGAATGCTTTGCGCATCCGGGTCACGGACAACCAGCCCCGGCGACGAATCCAATCCGCCACGGCGCCAAATCCAAAGGCGCAGAGCAGACGCGCCACATGCGGCAGACTGGACAAGAAGCCGGCAGATGAGAGGTTGAAGCCCAGGACCTCGCTCAAGAACTTGGGCGTGGCGGTGATCAGGAAGAACAGACCCCACATGCTGCCGTAGTGAAGCAACATCAGCGACCAGAAGGGCAGCGACAGGATTAGCTCCTTGTACGGGGGCCACTTCTGCAAAAATTAAAAAAAAAATATATATATTTAAGTCTTTTATAATGTCAAGATACCGCAAATTAAGTTAATTTCAAAGTTTATCTTCAAAAAGGTAAACATTTTTATATCGGATCATATTTAAGTTGGTTATCACACATAAACATATATTTTTTATATCAAAGTCTGAGTCCTCTTTCTTTTTGTTATTTTAATTTTTTTATCAAGCCAATTTATAAAATAAATACATCATACTAATTTATCACAATTAATTAAAAGGCTCTTAATGTAATAATGAATGTCTGGAATGAAGTGAATTTAAGTTTATACCATTTTGAAAAAATTCTAAAATACATTAAATAAATAATTAAATAATTCAGATATCTTCGGAAAGTTACAAATGAGAAAATATATACACTGGTACATGAAAATATTTCAATATTTTTCACTTTGATTTAGTACATTGCAATTTTTAGATATTTTAAATACGACAATATTATAATTCTTTCAAGTTTATCATTTGACTATTTTCGAAATTGATTCTAATATCTGCAAATCTTATTTAAATTTAAAAGGCATTTAAACCAAACAGGAAACATTTTTAATCTTTTATTTTCCACATTGATTTGAATAGTTTAATATTAAATAATGCCTTATGCACTGTATTTAATATTTAAGTTAAATGTTTGATATAAAATTAAGATTTCAATAGTCAGATATTTATATTCACTTTTCCATTTTGTTTGTCAGTGTAAGGAAATAATTTTATCTTACCTTCTTGTTGCTTAGAGTGCTGCCCAAGCTGTTCTCGATGTACTCCCGCTCCTTGAGACTGATCGTGCTGTGCTGAGCCGGAGTATCGGTCACCAGGAAGAACCAAATGGACACCACAATCAACACGAAGATGCCCACCATGTAGAAGGCCCAGTCCCAGCCCATGTTCTCGATGATCACTCCGCTGAGTGGCCAGGTGATGACAGTGCCGAAGGTGCCGCCCATCAGCGAGGCCACAAACTTGCCCTTCTCGTCCGGAGGTGCCCACTTGGACACCAGGCTGTGGCAGCACGGATACACCACGCCGTTGAGGAAGCCGATCAGGAAGCGCACGGCGAAGACCGCGTACTTGTCCCAGGCCGCGGCCGCCGGAGTCAGAGCCGTAAGGATTCCGGCCACCAGACAACTGTATCCGGCCACATTCCGGGCTCCCAGCATTTCGGCCAAGGTGCCGGCGGGCAAGGAGGTGATCATATAGCCGTAGAAATAGGCACCCAGCAGGAGGGCCTGATCCGATTGCGTCCAGTTATACCGAGGTCCATACTGTGAGAAATGGAATCGTTAATTAAACATATATATATAAAGCACTATAACTATATTATTGCACTAGGATCAGTGCTGGTACAATGCACTAGTTTTTGGTATATAGGTAAGGTACAAGGAATTTTCAAAAATAAATAAGTAATATTAATAAATAGGAAGGGTAAAAGATACACACTGTTTTCAGTATTCTGAGGATAATTGATAAGAGATTTTATTCCTAGAGAGTACTTAGTTTAGGAAGGTTTGAGGTATCGGGTAAGATTGAATGTTTAATGCTAATGTTTTCAATAAAAGGTATTGATTAACGCATTAGCCTGGGGAACTTACATTGGGCAGGGCCTCCACTTCCGTTCCATTCTCGTGGCTGCTGGTGTCCTCCACCATGGCGATGATGTTGATCGAGAGATTCACGCGCATCATGTAGCTGAGAAGGCAGGCCATGAAGAGCATGATGGCCAGATTGACGCGCTTCGGCACATAGACTGCGAACGACAGCAAATATTGGTTATTGACGGATCCATTATTCAATTTTCGATAGAAGCACAGGCACAGGCCCCTCGCCGCACATTAGGGTAATTAGCGGATCGAAAAAAGATCCCAATTCCCGTTTCAGCGGGTCACAGATCTCTAATGGACTGCGCATGCGCGAATTTCAATGTTTGAGTTCGATACGAATTTAAGGGGATTTCACACCGCCGAGCGAAGATCACGTGAGTCGTTATTGATATTGATGGGACATTATTCGCACATGACTCGTGTGGAGTATATATTTGGATTTTTGGATACTTACAGCATGGCATGAAGGCCATTTCGGCGGCTTTTGTTATGGCTCCGGTGGCTCGCGTCAGGTGTCAGCTGAAACGACAACAACAGGAAGCTGTTAGCAAGACTCTTATGCAGATCACCTTACGAATTCAGGGGTATTCCCCGAAGCCCGAGGCTTTTGCCAAAAAATTGTTGCCGCATAAATTTAATGAGTTACTAGGAAGTGCCCAGTCATCGTGTGCTATTTTCGGAAACACCTGATCTCGAAGACGCCTGTTAGTTTAAATAAATTATCATTTAAATGGTCGGTGTCAGTTGTGTTTGGTAATTGGCTGTCCATCGGAACTTAAAGTAAAAGTTTATAATCGGTTTTGTATAAAATAACCATTAGTTTTAACTCCCTCTTTTGAATAATTTATTTTATTAGGTTTAAAAATAACTAAGCTTAGCGTTAATTGTTATTCGAAAAGCAATTATTCTTCAATCAATAATGTAAGGCTTACAACTCCCAACTGAAGTTGATTAAGAAACAAAATTAATCACTAGAACTCCACTGAATCATTACTATTTAATTCAGATTTATAATCAAACTTATAAATTGCTCTTATTTATTAGTGTGCACTAGAACTTATCTTTCTCGACCTCAAAATTTTAAATACATATATATCTTTCAATAACTTAACATAGACGAATAGTTATAATTCATTTGGCTTTTGAAATCTTCAATTCTTTACAATGAAGTGCTAAGTAGTCATAGGCTATTCTTAACACAGTTTTAAAACAATATAAATTAATAGACAAAAAATGTGTATATAATTTTAATTGTTACAATCCCATCAAAATAACTAAAAGGTAACATTTTTCAGTAATTCAGCTCAATTAAACTACAATTTCAGGTGCAATCTAAAAGTGATAGCCGATTAGCTGCATAGAGATGTCTTCGTAACTGTTTCTAAAACTCGACAATCACAACTGCAAGTGCAGCAGTCTATTTAGAATTAGCCCTGCATTTCCGACATTTGTGTGGGTACTAGCCACTAAAACCGTATCATTCGAAAGTGCTTTCGGCGGTATCTGCGTGCAGTGCAAGTTGTCAAGTTTTATAAGCACGTCCCAATTGCCACTATATAGAGTCGGCACGTGAGTGGCCCCGTTTAGGCAAATTGAGTAACGGCCCAAAACAAAATACATAACAAATTCAAATGCCGATCGTGCCTCGAAAGTGTCGGAGTTTCGGGGAAGCTGAGCGGGTAAATATGGTAATTGTTCGACAGCATGCTAGCCCCATTTTCAAATCATTCTATCCGGGACAATCTGTGGGATACGTTTTTTGCGATAGCATGGCTTAGATGGAACCCAACGCTGCGGCTACGATAGCATTTTCTGCTAATCGAAGCATTTAAACAGCTGCCCCGCTGCACTTTGCACAAAAGAAATGTTTGCGCACAAGCTTTTCAACGTTCGTACATAAAGGCGTACACTGGCGTACTGGCATATAAACAGGGCTGTGAATTATGGCGGAGTTTAAATGGGGAGTTTAAAGTCGAACACTTGTTGGATTGCTTGATTATTGCCCTATATATATCCGGCCAAAATTCAAAGCTATAGTGCCAAAAACGAACTTCCCCTGCTCAACACACAGTGTGAATTGTCCCCTTAAATCATAAAATACGATTATGTGTTTTATTGGTAAGAGGCCCAATAAATATATAGGTATACCCTATAAACGGCGTGATAACCAATCAATTCTACTGAATGGAACCAAGGAATTGCAATTTAAACTAACGCCATCTTATCTTTAACAGCAGCACGATCCCGCAAATACAAATAACATATAGTAGATGCAAACAGTGGGTAGTAAAAATACTTCTCAGCTTGTTTTTCGTTCCGAATATAGAAGCTTCTCCATTTATATCATATCGTCGTATCCTACGACTAGATAACTGTATCTATGGACAAAAGAAGAGAACCCAGAAGCAATCTACCCCTTTGACCCGCCGGAATTCGCAATGATTTGGGGTTTGGTTGACGTGACTTGGCTGTGAATACCCGCAGATTGATTCGGGGAAACTAATTTGGCAGACAATCGGAACTGAACACCTTTTGGGCACTAGATCGGAATTATTGATTCGCAATACGTGAATTGAAAGTTTTTAATTATACCTTTTGAGAGAAGATCAAAGAACGCAGCTAATGACCTTCGGCATTAATTTGGGCTTAATAGTAAGTTGGAGAACCGCTAATTGCCGGGATTGTTTACAGCGATCTGTTTCTGGATAAACCGAGAGCATTGTGCAAACAAATATGACATTTGGCCAAAAGCAGGTTATTTTTTGTGGCTTTTCCCCTTGTCGGTTATATGGGGAAATTAAGTTAATGCCGGGCCAGCCTCTCGTTCTCTAATCTGCAGTGTTACGCTTTTATCAGCAGAGTAACCACCATCATTGACTCCATCAAATCAGCTCGACAATTTATGGGCCATAAAGAGGTGTCATAAAGTGATAAACTATAGTCGAATGCGACGCATGGACATGGTCGTGATAATTTAGCCATCCGCTTGTAAACGAACGTCATTAGAGTCAGGTTAATCGTCAATTAGCCGCAATCGCAGTGGACCTCGCTGGTGGACTGTGTTAACAAGTATTGCCCCGATAAATGATTTGATTTACAATCGGAAAGCGCTTGTTTTTGGAGGATCTTAAAGGGCCCCTATATGAAGCAAAAACATTTGGTATTCACAACATGCGTTCCATTTACATAACCGCTTGACATGGTTCGAGCAAAGACTCTATATTATGGAGACTCTGTAAATAGAGTATTTGGTTCGAGGTTGCTCGCCCTCTTCCCTTCCCTTCCCCTTGGGATCGATCCTCCAGTTTCAGTACCAGTAACAGTAACAGAGTACCCATTAAAGTCCCATTTGTTGTCACTTATCTGCTGATGTAGGGTGTAAGTGGTGTGTGTTTGGGCATAGAACTCTGCAAATTATTTAGTCGACGGCAATCAACCGTAACTGGCGAACAAATCAAGACCGGTAATGAACCCAGTTAGTTGGCAGTTATTGTTGTAGATCATTGTTTTTGTTCATTTTCGGTTCTCATAGCCTCAGTCACCCACCAGCGAACTGGCATTTTGCACCAATTCCCATTGAAATCATATAATTTGTGTTTTTGCATTTTTGCACGTTATAATTAAATTTCGGAAAATTACGTGGCGCATGTAAAAAAAAAGTTTGATATACACTCTATAATGATTGTAAATACCTGTCAATTTATTCGGTGAATTGAATAGTGCGAAATCAATGCGACAATTGCGAATATTGCAGGCACATGTTAATAAAAATCACGACTGTCAAATATTGTCCCTAGTTATTCATAATTTCACGATTCGAAAATATATGTACATAAGTTGATTGGGCAAACGGATCGAAGATTGAAGATCGAAGATCGTTGCATAAATCAGTAGGTTGTGTGAATATTTCGCGAAGACCCAAACCTGCACATTAACCCAGATACTTCCTTCGATCAGTCGGCTTAAAGCCACAAATCCTTAGTTTGGTCAGTCGACTGCAACAATTTGGCTGTCACAGCTTCCCGGGTTGTTGCCAAGGCCTGGAATTAGCGGAACCCACGGATCACGGATCACTACTTGCCCGAAAGCCAGAAACATAACAAATTGAAATTGTTTCGAATAGTGGTCGCGGTTCAATGAATCCAAATAACCGAAACCTGTTATTATTTGAAATGCAAATTTTTCGCTAACTGAAATAAAATTCGGTCGAAGCCGAAATAAGCGCCAGTCCAAGCATAATAACGGCCTATTCTGTTGTCTTACTTTCCAATATTATGCACAAAAATATAAACACTTTTTAAAATTCTCCATTTCTTGTAATAAATTTTGAGCGGTTGAAATTTTCCTAAATATGATATATTTTGAATACATTTTTTTAAACTTGAAAATCGAAATATCTTTTTAGCTAGACCTAAAATGTAGATCTAAGGGGCCCGTCCCCCATTGATTTGTTATGGAAAATTAGCAATGATACGCACTATTGGCACAAACAGCGATTCGCGATCACAAAACACTCAAAGCCATCATCTCAGGTGATCTCTGCTAATGATTTCTTCTCGAACTTCTTCGTGGCACACATTTTGCATGGAATTTTACCACAGTCCCCGACAAAAAAATATCGGATGGAGTTGTGGCGCCAAATACTACGCTCGTAATTACTACGCCAATTCAAAATTCGAAAAACTGGACTTTCCCGTTGAGAGGTTCGAGAAAATAGTGCGTTAATGGCTGGGTGGTCAGGTTGTACCGAAACTCACTTTATTTAGTATGCTTTAGTTGGTACTTATTTGGATTTGGCAGCTCGCCGGCCGAAACAAAACGTATCGAATCGAATCGAATCAAACTGCTGAGAACGTCGCGCGGCGAATGAAGCTAAATCGGCGACTGCCAATGGCATATATACTTGGGCGACGATTTAAAGCAAAACTTCCACCTGCCGCTGTCGCAGTCGCAGATTCAGTTTCAGCGGCAACGGCAGCAGCAGCAGCAGCGACTGAGCAGCGCAAAACGGTTAAAAATTGTTTAAATTGTTGTCGACGGTTGAAGCTCACCGTCGTCGACTGTCGGTCGACTGGCTTTTTTACGCTTTCTGATAGCGTGCCAAAAAAATCGCATGCGATTCGAGCCCCCCACAATAAAAAAAAAGAAACCGAGAAATTTTTAAACAAAATATCACAAATTCGTGCTAAAATGTAAATCAATATACCCGATGACTAATAATTCAAATATATATGATCCCATATATTCAAATTGCTAATTGTTTGGGCATATCCAGACCAGCGAATACTAGTATTTATTTGGCTAAGCCAAAAAAACCAGTCATTAGTTAGTTTTCAAAAACACCGCTGTAAAACACGTGTTGAGAAAAGTCAGTTGAGCGTTTCACTTGTTTCATAATTTTGTTTAATTAGCGCAATTGGCAGATGACAGTGAAAAGCCACAGAAGCACAGAACCCACTTTATTGACTTGGGTTTATTTATTATTAAATATAGCTCTTATCACACTCCTCACCTTGGATAACTTTACTTCCAGAGTAGCCAGTTGGGAATCCGAACCCTTTAAACACATCCGATATATTCCGCTGCTCGGCACATTTTGACTTTATGGCCACATTTCTGGCTTTCTGGCCAACTATCTCACGGTGTGTGGATGCCATATAATGTACTTTATCTTCACGGGTTATCCGACTTCTACCAACAGACAAGCTCATAAAGCTTAATTGATGCATTTGACTGCCTGTTTTGAGATAAGCAGCGATTATGAGTGAAAAGATGTCAGATGTTGAGAACATGTATTAATGACAAGCATATTTTCCCTTACATGCCAACAAACTTTGTAAACAATTTATCCAGCCTAAAAAATAATGTTCACATTATATTTGGTCAGTAACCATTTTATGGCAGCAGTTTTAAAAATTATTTAATTTCAACATCTTGGAGAATTGTTTGAGTACATCTTTGCTAAAAGCCAACTGAGTATAAACAATCAAAGTAATTTCACTTATTAACTCTACTTGACTTACACACACGCCAAACAAATTAAATTCAAGTTCAGTTGATATCTTTCACAACATATTCACATACAGCATGCGATGGGCACAGACTTTTCCCACCAGCTTACTATATTCAATAATCGTATCGACATCGGTGTCTGGGCCGCGCAACTGCTGAGAAAATTAAAGTTAATGCTTAATAAATGTTAATCGCTGGAGGTGACAAACCTGCACATAGTGTTTGTAGTCTGCACAGGTTTTAGCATCCAAAAGCAGCATAACTTCGTCCAAATGCTCCATTAGGAACTCATTCACATCCCTGGCAGCAGCATCTGAGTTTAAGCGTTGGTATTTTTGTTCGTCTAGCTTAGAACGAATGGCTAAAATAAAATGGGGTTACAATTAGAAAATATTATAGAAATGCAAACGTGAAATTTACCATCGGTAAGTGGGAGCCATTCATAAGTCTCTGGGCATAGCAAATATGAGGCGGACAATTTGCCCTTGTAGCGCATTTTGGGGCATGAGTGTATGTAAAAGCCCATGTAGTAATACTTTAAGGCAGGCACATTCTCGGCGATCGACTGCACCAAGTCGATTTCCCTGAAACGTAATGTAAGTAATGTAATTGTGATTTATTTATTTCAAATTAGTTGTTACCTAAGAGAGCCATAAGTACCCAGCGATAAAAAGCTATAGTCCGGATCGTAGAAGAAGTAAACAGAGCTTACACAAGCGGGCAGAATATCTATTACGCCCACGGCAATCAACTTGTCGTCCAGCCAATACTGCTGATGGAAGGATCCATAGCCCATTTCGGGACCATCGCTAGGTTTTTCATTCTGCAAATGGATGAGCACAAGTCGAGATCAAAGTAAGAACTGAAAAACTAATGTGTATGGATTTGAAAAACACTAAGAAACACTAGGCAAAACCTTCATGGGCGTCAACTGCAGGTGGTCCTTGTAGGCGTTCTGATTCTTGGGCGGATCGTTGTGTATCGATATCTGATACTTCTTGTACAGCGCAAAGCTCTCGGGCAAGGTCCGGTTGAATTCCTCGTCGTAGACGTGCACCAATCTCAGCTGTGAATACATTTTCGATAGCGTAAATAGGCATTTATAATTACCTTAAGGGGTGATTTGACCAAGAACCGCTGCATACTAGCTAGGGTGAGGCGTGCGGGATTATCGTTGTGAATGGTTATTTGATATTTGCGATAGAGCGCGATCACTGCATCGGCACAAGTGCGCTGTGTGTCTGAGGAAGCGACCAAAACGATCTGCAAGAACACAAACAGCACGAAGACAGTGTGTCTACATGTAGAGGAAGGTCGGAGACACGGAAAACATATAGTCACAGCTCACAAAACGAACACATAACAACAAGGGGACACGCTAGCCAGCTAAGCCTTGCAATCGGTCTTACAAAAATATGCATCTAAATCTATCCCTACTTACCTTAAGCTGATGTTTGTTCGTCTCGCTGTCGGTCGACAGGAAGTCACGAAGGGTCTTCTCCTGGCACACGGATTTCGTTGAGGTTGCGGCGGTGTCTCCCAGCTTGGCCTGCCTGCGCTCCAATCGCATTTGCTTGGCCTTCTTGCGCGGAGCGTTTGAGATCGGTGCTGCAGCTGTTGAATGAACAAATATTCAATTACTTTTACAGTTTAAAGCTGTTTTTATGGGGGATAAAATAATGAAATATTTGTTAAATTAAAAGTATCATCCTAAATAATGTATACAAATATTAGGTAATTTCCATTTGGGACTGTCTTGCGCATTGGATGCAGAAAAATAGCAACTGGTTTATTATGATTCCCTTTCCAACCTCTATTATGCGTAATAAGGTTGTCTTTGTCCAATTTTACGTTGTAAAGATAGTGGCAAAAAACCGACGCTATCGCTAAACAACTTAGAACGGAAGTTGCGATACTTCAGAGTGACTTATTTTGCAATGTTGCCTAGAATAGCAAAAAAATTGACTTCTTGTAAGTGAAAAATTATTTATATTTTATTCAAATTTAGAGTTCAGCTCAGTAGCTCGTAAATTTTTTCATTATTTAAATTTATAAAAATTTAACTGGTTTTGATTAGACAGTCAAAAATTAATGAAAAAGGTCGTTAAAAAAAATTGTATCTTACATTGTACATTGTATTCTCTTAGATCATTAAATGGGTCTTAATACATACAAAAAGTATTTTTTTGGCAAATGAGATAAATGATTCAGAGTATAACATAATACGACTATATTGACTTGTTAGTATTTGGCTTGGGTGCACTTTTTAGTGAAGCATATTCAATGTGTTTTCAAATCGTGTCTCGTTCAGTGTATAACAAGCTTGTAATCAAAATGCTAATAACTTTTTCAAGGAAATAAGAATTAGTGCTACTTGCGGTGTATACCCACATTTATTGGAGCCCAGCGTTGGAGCTTCAGCCGTTGAAGCAGCCGCCTGCTTGGCGGACGGCTTTTTCTGAGCCCGTGCCAGTGACGCAACCTGATCCACGTTGATAACAGCCGGACTCTTATCGGGCAGCTGGGGTTGCGGTTCGCTGGAAGCAGCTTCGCCAGCCACTGTGACATCATCGCCATCCAGATCACCCGGATCCCCCTCCCCGTCGCCGCCATCCGGCTTGGAGTCCCGCTTGCCGTCGCGCAAATATCGATTCATGCGGCGCAGAATGCGCTTGTTCGACTTGGACAGCTTGAACTCCAGCGCGTCGCACTTGATGGTGTAGCACGGGCAGCAGGTCTCCTGGTTGCGCAGCTTGTAGCAGTAGTTGCCGCAGCGCCGCCAGCCGCGATCGATGAGGTCCTGGTAGTCCTGGCAGTCCAGCCGATAGGCGTGCATACCTGTCATACGTGACGAATGCGTGATCATTATTGCAGGCCATCCAATGCAAATGCACCCGAATGTTTCCTTACCGTGCGACAGGCTGCAGTTGGTGCCGCCGCAGTAGCCGCACTTGCCCTCCTGGCTGCCGTAGTACTGCACAATGCTAACGCTCATTATTCCTGTCTTCCGACGCCGATCACAGGGCAAACATTGTGCATTCAATTGCGAGGAATTAATTAAGAACCGAGCCGAGTCGCCGCTATTGCGAAATTTATTATACTTTCAGTGTGACCAGTGCTCACCGGCTAATAAATACCATTGTATCGGTCTGAGACGAAAAGTTGAGGGTATTCCTGAAATCGACTTACAGGTGGTTTCCACTAGTCATAAATACAATTTCAATGGTTTCTGGTGAGAATATGTGGTTTATTTCTAACAAAACTCTGATATTGCCTCGTATTCAGATAAGGTATTTGAAGGGCCATAGAAAGTACTTACTTAGTTCGGTTCATTAATTTAACTAAAAATGTTTTGTTTTGCAACCATAAATTTGTATAAAAAGTCAAATGTTATTTTTCGGTACAGGACAAAAACGCACATTTTCTTATAATCTAAATTAAAATTAAGCTTGGTTAAACATCACAAAAATATAAAAAATATTTTGTATTGATTAAAACTTTAAAATGTTGATGTTATATATTTGAATGATAAAGTCCCTATATTGGCTATTAGTTTGATGTGCGTTTTTTAATTTTCTTAGCATAAACTATAATCCCAAAGACCCAATGTCACTATTTATATCTGAGGAATATATCACATCACAAACACTAGTTTTTCTGGCAGTAACTAATAATCATATTAATAAAATCAAATAATTAAAACAATGCAAAGCAATTAACTTTATACTGGGAGTCCCCCTGTTTTAATTTGCAAAGCAAATAGTTTTCTGCGCACGGTCACACTGGCCAGCATTCGGTTAGCTCAGTCGAAAAGACTTGCAACAATAGTTATGATTAGAAGCCGCAATAGTAAGGCCGATTAAAAATGTATTAAACTAAAAATCTGGAGTCTTTAATCTGTAAGTATTCAGGCAAATAAAACAGCAACATAAAGGAAAGTGACACATTCAACATTAGGACCTGCTGACGAAATTGTTTAGTGCGTAATTGTCAAGTGAAAGTTTTTTATGGCTTTTCTTCGGTTAAAAAGTAGTTAAACTATTGAGAAACTCGCAGCTAATTGCCCGCTTATACCAAAAGGTATGACAAACAAGGCTACTTCAGTAAAGTCTGCAAAGATTTGTGTTAAATAGTTTGTAAACTGGTTTAAGCTCTACCTTCAAGACGACCTTCATAGCTGCAGACTTTGTCACAACACTAATCCGGAAAAACAATGCAACTGCTGGACAAGTTTATTGTGTCTTTGTCTGCAATAGTGGCTAATAAAGGGATTACTAACTCAATTTACCATTGGCAGTGCACAATGATTGACGCGGCTTGCGCGGAACGGGGAAGCCCCAAGTTTATTGCCCTCTTCGATGACAATCTGAAACTGGGCCACGAGCACGAGGATAACCAGCAACGAGAGCCAGTGGTGAATGGACATGTACCCGCCGACCTGCAGCCAGCCTATGGCTCCTTGTTCGCCGCCTGCCAGGACCACGCCGCCTTCTTCGCCAAGGACCACACCGAGTTCGGCCAGCGCCTGCATGCCGCCCACATTGCCTGGCAGGACTTCATTGTCCAGGCCAACCGGCTGGTCCTGCAGATCGAGGCTTTCGCCCACGAGTACGACTTCGACGAGCGGACGCCGGGCAACGGGTACCGGAGCTTCATGTACGTGACCAACGCCTGCATCACACACGGCATGGGCATCTGCCGGCAGCTGATGGCCACCCGATCCACCATGTTCTTCCGGAGGAAGTTCTACATGAAGGAGGTGGAGGCCTGCTCGCAGCTGCTGTCCTCGCTGTGCACCTGCCTGCAGTACCTGCTCATCCTGCGCCAGTGGTCGGCCAGCACGGGCGATCTGTTCGCCTGCGGCAACCACACGGCCGAGCAGCTCTTCGAGCTGGGCGACACCATCAACCAGTATTGCTTTTACGGCCGCTGTTTGGGCTTCCAGTACGGCGACTCGATACGCGGCGTCCTCCGCTTCCTGGGCATCAGCATGGCCAGCTACTCGGAGTCCTACTACTCGCAGGAGGGCGATGGCGCCATCGTGAAGACCACCCGCAGTCTGTGGACCAGTGGCAAGTACCTAATGAATCCGGAACTGAGGGCCCGCCGCATCGTGAACATCTCGCAAAATGCCAAGATCGACTTCTGCAAGTCCTTCTGGTTCCTGGCCGAGTCCGAGCTGATGCACAAGCTGCCCAGCATTGTGGGCACTTCCATACGAGTCAACCGGCTGATCGAGCTGCCAGCCGAACCGCTAAAGTTGCCGCCACGAAAGAACTTTAAGGCGCCGCAGAAGCCCAGCAGCGATGTCAACCAGAACCAGGGCGACGATGGCGACTTCGTGGAGATTCCCGTGCCCACGGCCCACCTGGGACCTGGTCTGCCCGTATCGGTGCGCCTGCTGAGCGCCAAGCGGCGAACGGGCATGCTCGGTGAGGGTCGCTACCGCGGCTGGCACAAGCCCACACCGCCCAGTCCCGCGATCCTGTTCCACTGCCATGGCGGCGGCTTTGTGGCCCAATCCTCGAAGTCCCACGAACTGTATCTGCGCGACTGGGCCGTGGCCCTCGACTGTCCCATTCTCTCGGTGGACTACAGCCTGGCGCCGGAGGCTCCGTTCCCGCGTGCCCTGCAGGAGGTGTACTACGCCTACTGCTGGCTGCTGGACAACACCGAACTGCTGGGCACAACGGCTGAGCGGATCGTGTGCGCCGGCGACTCGGCCGGGGCGAATCTGTCCATCGGAGTGGCCCTCAAGTGCATCGAGCAGGGAGTTCGGGTCCCTGACGGCCTCTTCCTGGCCTACTGTCCCACTCTCGTCAGCTTTGTGCCCAGTCCTGCCCGCCTTCTCTGCCTGATGGATCCACTGTTGCCGTTCGGCTTCATGATGCGTTGCCTTCGTGCCTATGCGGCGCCAGCCCAGGAGACGCTGCAGCAGAATGCCCGGCATGTGGAGGATGCCGCCCAGATACGCAATGCCCCGAAGTCGAGTGCGGGCAGCTTGAACTCCAGTCGCCGCACCTCGGTGGCCAGAAGTCCGCTGACGCCGCTGGAGGCCAGCAGCGAGCACGATGACGAGAGCAGCGACACCTTTGCCAGCGCCTCGGCCTCCTACCACAGCCAGACGGTGGAGCGAACCGATCTGCCCAACAGCGAGGGCGACAACAGCTCGTGCGTCTCCTTCGAGGACGACTCGCAGCCCATTGTCCACTATCCGGTGGAGATATCCGCCGACCCACCTAAGGACGCCGCCTCGGCGGCCTACATTGACAACTTTCTGGACAAGTACCTCATCGATACCGCCACCGTGGAGGTGACCGAGGAGACAGCCGCCGAGGCAGCCCAGGTGCAGGCCAATGGACATGCCAAGATCAGTTCGGATGGCGATATTCTGGTGGAGACGGGTCGGGATCTCGTTGCGATGGACACTCTGCAGGGACGGCTGCAGGAAGCGGTGAACAACATCACCAGCACCCTGACCCGCTGCACCCAATCCTACGAGATCCATGGCAGCAATGCGGACCACCAGGATGTGCGCAACATGGACGCACTGATAGCCAGGAGCCCCAGCGAGGAGTTTGCATTCGATGTGCCTAGGGATCCGTTTCTATCGCCCTACTGGGCCAGCGATGAATGGCTATCCCAGCTGCCGGAGACCAAAATACTTGTAAGCTCATTGAGTTGGTGAAATAACAATGATTATACGGATTTATATACCCCTTTCTAGACCCTGAATATGGATCCCTGTTTGGATGACTGCGTCATGTTTGCCAAAAAGCTGAAACGCCTTGGTAGGCAAGTAAACTTGGAGATATTGGAGGGGCTTCCGCACGGATTTCTTAATTTCACCATGGTATGAGAGGCCTTTTAAAAATGGAATATGATTACTAATCCCAAATTCTGTCTGTTTAGCTATCCAACGAAGCCATGGAAGGATCCAAGCACTGCATAAAGTCTCTACAGACGTTGCTTCAGATAGATCCGAAGCACAAGACCAATGACAAAGGCAGCTCACTGGACGACGAGGAGTCCTCCAGTCCCAGTGCAAGTCTGGCTGCTTCCTAGGATGAGTTTCAATCGGTCTATGTGCCTATAGGACTGGAGAACCAAACAACCGACGACGAGGAACAATAAAACACCGATGGTAAATTGTGAGTGACAATGGGGTTTCAGAATCACTGTAAAATATTGTCACCTGCATCGGATTTCTCCTTTCACATGGGCGTGTAAACCGAAATTTTGTTATGCGCAGGAACGAATTGCTGTTCATTGTTATACGCACTTTTCTTGCTTTTTAATTACTTTGTAATCTCAAACATTTTTTATACACTTTTATATGACACGGCTTTCTATGTTTTATATACTCACAAAATATGTATAGGATATATATATATATATATATATATATATATATATAGCTTTTAGCATAAGCTGGCCAAGTATGCAAGTATTGAAAGCGTGTAAACACGCACTATTTATTATAGTTACAATTAACGCTCTTGATTCCAGGCACACACTCGCTAAGAGCTGTTTAATGCAAAACTCCCGAATTTGTGCCTGATACGAAACGAGTACTTATATACATCTGTATAAACTATTCGCCCATTACCCATTATTTTCTGTGACCAGACTTTTTTTTGGCACCAATGGAGGCTAGCAGAGTTAAAAAACTTAAACTATGTTGGAGATATGCCCAGTTTTCTTTGCCTATCCCAAGCGAAACCGTCTGAAAGTATATCTACGGTACACCAGGTGTTTGATATACTTTTACATTTCAAATGTGTTTGCAATCTCTCTCCTTAAACTATACCCAGTGTTATACATAAAATGCGAATAAATGGTTATTACCCTTAAAACGAATTGTTATATTTGTGTGGTACATATATTGAACAAAGTAAAGTAAACCAGTTAACACTACACAATATAGCTTTATTGATCAAAAAATGCGAAATTTGCTTAAAACTTAGGAATGAATTGTACGCGTGAGGATGAGAGGTTACGATAGGGAATATAAATATGAGCTGCAGGATGAACCTATGTCTCATTGTCTTCGATTTTGGGTGCCAGGTAGTAGCGGATGTGACCCAGATCCTTGATCGCATACTCGACCACCAGCGGCACATCTGCGCACATCGACAGCTGCACCTGGGTGGACAGGGGCGTGGCCTTTGTGAAGGCGTTCAGGTAGCGACAGGCAAAGGTCAGCGTCACCGGCTCCTGCATCTCGATGATGACGGCCTCCTCCTCCTTGTCCACTGAGCCGGTTTGGGCCAGCTTGATGTTGGCAGTGCCCACATCGCCGCTGGCCGAGAACTTCACGCCCTCCTTGGTGCAGCAGATGACCACGGATTCGCTGAACTGCGCCAGATCGCGGCAGATGCGGGCGAACTCCATGGCCGGCATGCGGACCACGCACGAGAAGTCCGTCTCCGGGATGCCCAGGTGCTCCTGGTCCAGGTTCATCAGCTTCATCTCGTAGTCGGAGACCTTCTCCTGGTTGGCCGACTCGAACATGATGGTGACTGTGTCGGCGTTGTCCTGCGCCTTCATCGTCACGTTGTCCTCATTGTTGGCGCACTTGAGGATCTTGGCCATGCTGCCCAGATTCATGCCCATGGAGAGGTTGCGGTCGCAGCGGAACTTGTCGAATCCGTCGGATCGCAGGGTCAGCGAGACCAGCGACACATGGGAGTTGTCCATGGCCTGCAGCTGTGTGGATTAAAAAACATATTAGATGGGACTAAAGTTTAAGGCTATTATCGTATTGTACCTGAATGCCGGAGTCGCTGCAATCGAAGGTGGCCTCATTTAACAGATCCTTTATGGCGTCCAGGATCTTCTTCAGAATGGTGGCTTGACCCAGGCGTGCCTCGAACATGTTGAATTTGTTTTATTTTTTGCGGTAATATGATCGTAAGGAGCAAGAACTGGGCAGTGATCAACCTTTACTGATGATTGGTTATAATGAGCACTTAAAACCACGAATGTTGCCGCTGCAGTGAGTTTAAAATGAATGACGAACGTGGGCAATTTTCTACTTGGGATCGGATCAGGCGGGCTAAATGAGCGGGATAGTGATGTGAAAAGCCACGGGCGATATCCATTGCGCGCGCGGCAGCTATCGATAACAGCCGGTCCTGGGGCTGCCAACCTATTGGAATCTCAAAACAGATTTGGTCACACTCACGACAGAAATATAAATATATTTTTAAAATCTAAATTACACAAAATAATCAAGACACAATGCACTAACGGTAACGATGGTTTATAAACGTCCGAGGCGAGGACGCATTCTTCTTGTTCAAACGTTCTGCCTGTTTCATCATTCGCCGCAGTTCTTCAACTCCCAGACCTAAAATTAAATTTAATAAACATTAAATTAAATGACTAACTTTAAGTACTCACCTTGCACTGTATGTGTTTTTCGAGCACCGTTCGGATCCAATTGAGTGAAAAATTGCTCCAGGGCGGTATGCTTTTCAATGACGGCCACGCAGAGTGCCGGAATCATCGAGGATAGATTGAAATCCTTATACGATCTCCGGCGTAAAAGCTCCTTAACCAAAGGCAATTGACCAGAATAAGTCGCCAGGGTTAAAGCATTTTGTCCAAAATAATTGATGGCGTAAATATTTCCACCAAACTCCAAAAGCGTGTGAGCGCACTCAATGCGTCCCAAGTAGCAGGCCTTCAACAAGGCCGTGTTCCCATAGCTGTCCACTTCCTCGAGGCTGTACTGTTTGCCATCGCGAGCCTTGCTGCAGATTATTCGCAGAGAAACAATGTCATCCTGTCCCACAAAACTGAGAGCTTCAATAAAAAATATTGTTAATAACTTCTATGTTTATTTATTATTTTGTACTACCATTCATTTCTCCCATTCTGCATGGTCTTCATATAACGGCGCTTTTCGGAAACCAGGGATGCGATGCCATTCTTATAAGGGAATCTCAATAATTAGGGCACTCCATCAGGTATTGAATATTTGAATTCTCAAAACGCAAATGACTATTAAAAGTTTTAAAATTTGTTATATTATAGTTAAGACTGTCTGATTTTTCAAATAAAGAAAGAAACGCAACTCTGTAATTTGTCAACATTGAAAAAAAAAAAACATTGAGCAATATATAAATAGATTTAAAATGATATTCTAGCTTAATATATATTTTGACGATTTTAATATAATTCTGTTAAAATCGAACTATTTAAAAGTTCAGCAATATGTTTATTGATTTTGACGCGCCATCTTTACGCACAAACTTTACGTGTCAACTTTACGATTGAACTTTTTGCGTTCAAACGCGCTTTAACTTTCCGTTTAATTAAAATGCCATATTTTTTGTGTTGTTTTAGCTAACTATATATTTAACTGCAATCAAGTATGTCTGCACATAGCTCGACATAGCTTTTTGGAACAGGATAGTTAATACACTTACAAACGCATACAAATATCAATTGACAAGTACGAATGCAAAATACATTTAGGCGGGTCACAGACCCCATTTTGTGGGTTAGTAGATTTCTGTTACGATTATTGTCATTGTTTCGTAAAGGATTATTTGAGACTAACTAAGCACTACAAGTACAAATGCCGCTCGTGCAGTTGATCCTGATCGAAGGACCAAAGCTAGCACATGGGATGACAGCTACAAATTATATAGGACTAACCGACCAGTGCGAACTGGGGATATACATGTGTACACTTAAGTTTAATCTAATACGTCGTATATATAAACTAAAAGGTTGTGCGAATAATTTAGTCGGAGAGATTCTGCGGGTATCCTGCGCATCTTGACTTTCGGGTCTCCGGATGCTTATAGCCCCGGCTTGGTTTTGTCGTCGATGCTGCTGCCGCTCCCGGCGCTCGCCGTGCTGCCCGCATCCGATGGCACCGGACTGGACCGGCCCGATCCGCCCACGGGCGTGGGAATGGGACTGGCGGCCGGACTGGTGTCCAGGTCGCTCGTGCTGCAGATTTCCTGAAAAGTGAGATTGGAATTCAGCCTCTGGTCATATAACTTCATTGTCTTCCGACTTGAACTTAGACTACTTGGAACTGAACTGACCTCGTCCGCTTGTGTCGTGCTGGTCACCGCCTCAGTTTTGCACTCCTCGCTGGTCAGGTCCGCCTTCTCGGCCCAGGAGCGCAAGAACTCCACCACATGGGTGTGGCCGAAGTTCTCGGCCTCGTCCACGGGCAGGTTGCCCCAACGATCCTTGGGGTTGTGGGGCACATGGCACTGTTCCAGCAGGAACTTGACGCACTCCAGATGGCCCTCGGAGGCGGCCAGATGCAGGGCAGTACGGCCATCGTAGTCCGCCAGGGTGATGTCCATCCCGGACAGGCGATGGCGACGCAGGGCCGTGACATCTCCGCTGGCCGCTGAGAAGAGCAGATTGACGATCGAAAGACCCTTCGTCTCGTAGCGATGCTTCCGCGGATCCTTCTTGTTGGACAGATGCTTCAGGTTGTCGTAGCGATGGAAATTGAACATGGAGACCAGCTCCTCGCAGAACTGCAGGCCCCGCACCGTGTTGCCCAGATGGTCCAGAGGCGGCGACCAGGCAAAGATGCCCATCACATTGGGAATGACCAGCATCATGCCCCCACTCACACCGGACTTGGCCGGCAGTCCCACCTTGAAGGCGAACTGCCCGGAATAGTCGTAGGTGCCGCAGGAGTGCATGATCGAGAGCACATCCCGGATCACCTCCGGCCGGAACACCTTCTCCTCGGTGGTGGGACAGATGCCGCCATTGGCCAGACTGGCTGCGATCACGGACATGGCCTCGCAATTCGTCTCCATGGAGCAGCACTGGAAGTAGAAGTCCATCACCTCCTTCAGATTGGTGCGCTTGGGGAAGCACTTGTTCTCCCGCATATAGAATCCCAAAGCGTAGTTCCTATCGGCAGCCTCTCTTTCGGACAGGAATACGGCATTGTTGAAGCCGATGTACTCCCCGCCGGACAACCGCTTGAACCAGGACATGGTGTAGTCGAAGATCTCGGCGGAGGTCATGTCCGGCTTCACCAGAGCGTTCATCAGGGAACAGGTCAGAATGGCACCTGCATTGATCATCGGATTGTGCGGTTTCTCTGTGGGGGGAAAAACAAATTATAATATTAAAACTTTATGAAAACATTTCCATTCGTATTAATTAATAATCAAAAAAGAATAGATAAATATCTAAATTTTAAGTAACATAATATCTTCATAGGCTTCTTTATTTAGTTAGTCAGTGAAATTAGAGTGTTTGAGTAGTAAAGTTGGTACTAAATAAGCTTGTACAAATAGTGATGGGTAATTTAGCATTCAAATGATTTTTCTAAAGCGTTAGAATAATAATATATATAAAAATAACTATTTTTTAGCATTTGGAAAACTGTAGCACATATTCTTTTGAAACTTTCTATATCATATCATAGTGCAGATCTTTTCAAATAATTTTCAATGTAAAGTTGATTCAGATCCACACTATCTGTTCAGTTTGCATTGGAAAGTCTAATGCAGTTAATTTTTGACTTATATGACCCTTATATTCGATCCCACACTTACTGTTCTGATCCAGGACGAGCTCATTGAAGTTCCTGCCACTGGGCTCCTGGCCCACGTACGAGTGCACCACCTTGGGACCCAGCTTCTCCAGCGCAATGGCGTAGGTGAGTGGCTTGCTGCAACTCTGGAGGGTGAACGGAACCTCCACGTCGCCCATGGAAAAGCGCTGGCCATCGATGGTGCAGATGCTGAGACCCCAGGAATCGGGGTTGTACCTGGCCAGCTGCGGGATATAGTCGGCCAACTTGCCCAAAGTGTTGGTCTTGCAGCGGTGGTAAATATCCTCGATGTCCTTGACGAAACTGGTAAAGTCGGGGATCACGAACTGCTGCCGAAAAGCCTTGGCAATCAGCACAATATTGGGGGCCACCACACTGACAAGGACATGATTGTTATTATAGTGATTGAATGGAAATTTGTGCAGTCTACACTCACGCCTTGAAGGTCTCGCGATTGAGATGCTGCGTCTCGGCCGAAGAGCCCGTCTCGTAGTTATTTAATTTATGCACTTTCTTCAAATTATCCATTAGCTCTCGCACTCTCGGATCGCTCCGGCGAATGCCAGTGGTCTTCAGCCCGGCCAGGAATTTACCCATCGAGATGAGTCCTGTCTCCTCACTGGCAAACATGTCGAACAGAACGTCCTCCGCATTGCGTTGCTCCTGCTCCCGATGGCTGTGAATGGAAATGAAAATGAGTTAATAAAGGGGAAATTAGCGAAATAGTTTCGAAGCCACAGAAAAGCAATTGGGTTTAGGGCACCTGCTAATTGAGCGCCGATCCCCTACTGAATTTTAGCATGCGTGTGTGGAAAAGCAAGACCAAATAAAATTCACAAAAAACATAGCACTAGTACTACGGAGGGAGGGTATAGAGTGGTAGGGGAATTTTAGAGGCGTTTGTCTTTGGCCAACTGGCGTTGAACTTCAAGTGCTAATTGGCTCACAGACATCTAATGCAGCGCGGCCATTGAAACTGCAAAGATCCAGTTGAGCTTTTCTAAATATAGATATTCCTCCATGGCTGGCTTGAGTTCTTGATTTGATTAATTCGGATTTTTTTTTTTTTTTGTTTTGAACTATAAATTTGGGAAATCATTTTGCGCAGAGTTCAATTAACTACAATTTAGTTGAGTTGGGATTGATTAAGAGATCGTTTCGTTAATGGTTCATGGATGGCATGGCAACTGGTTCAAATTCTACAGGATACACAAACAGTTCAATCGATTACTCACGGCCGCATCGAATAGTGGCGTCGCTGATTGCTAAAAGAGTGATAGACAGGATGATCAGACGGCAATTGTTAGTTACGATTTCCATATGTCGGCCACAAAGAGCGTGTAATGAGCGTCAATCAACGCAATTTTCGATTTATAGTTATTGTAGGGGTGTGTCGTATAGATAAAGGGGTGTGATGATGTATATTTGTGCACAGTCTATTTTTACGACCCACTAGATATAGTATACTACATATATTGTCCCTGCCCTTGACTGTCTGCTCTGGTTGCGTTTTCCGGCACTATTTTTACCTGATTATCGCGGAAATAGTACGCACTATGGTGCCGCGACGATTCTGCAGCGAGATGCCCTCGATGATCTCCTCGATGATGGCCGCCGTCTCCGTGGTCTCCTGCTCCTTGCCCCGCCTGTAGTTCTCCTCTCGCTCCTTGGTCTCACCGTCCTCGCTTTGTCGCTTCAGCGCATCCATTTCATTTGTCTCCACCACCATGGCGTATACGTGATTTTTGATTTTTGATTTGTATCTGTATTTTATGGGACTTAGAGCTTGCTTTGCGTTGACTTTAACGCTAAGCTGCTGCGAGTTCAATGGGAACGGCAGTATGCGCGCCAGCGTTTTATACATCAGCGGAAAGTGTGACTTTTGCTGCTGCTCCCAGCGAGCGGAGCACTTAGAGATAGCCATTCGGATAGAGAGAGTGTAGGGCGGCGAGCAGGGCACCAGGAGAGTCGGGCCGAAATGTGCTAATTTCTAAATCATGTTATTGCCAATAAAATAAATTAATTAACTCCTTTTGCTCTCTATTCAAACCACGGCTGGTACACAGAAACGCACACGAGCATATACAACTGTAGATATGGCTGGATTTATGGCATTATAATGGCACTGGCACATTGTCTGGCCCCCCCATAATGGTACATATTCACATGGGCACTACCAAATTGAAAACCGATAAGAAGGAAAACGTCACGCGGCGACGGAACCCCTTTTCTTTCACTGGTCTGATAATGAGGTGGGCACGTCTCCGGCTGACTCACAATTACCTGATATACTTCGTTATCACCTTGATGAACGTCTCCTTCTGGCTCTTGGTGCAAAGTCCGGCCACCATTTCGGCTATAATGCCGGCATCTATAAGATCAGCATCGTCCTGAATGCGTTCCTTGCCCTCTTCGGTGCCGGATAGGGGTTCCTTGACCGGAACTTCGGCCTTCTCCTCCTCCACCTGGGCGGCATTACGCTTGACCAGTTCAATGAGCTCCTCCCCCGTCATGGACTTCAGATCGTCCACGATCTTCTGCCTGATGCTGTCCTTGAACTGGGCCGCCTCCTCGGCGGTGTATCCGTCCAGCGGAAGTGGTGCCCTCTCTGTGGCATATTGCAGCAGATTCCAACTACGATCGCCCATCATTTCGATAGATAGTATATGGTAAATGGTATATGTGGTATATGTCCTCCTTTTTCACTGTGCAAACTTGCGGCTCGTCACCGCCGAAATGAGCCCAGTCGCCGAATGGCCAATGGTTTTATAGTTCGCCAACATCATACATCAATGCCTTACATACATGCATATATATATATAGTTCAGCAGACCCAAAATTGAGTGAGCGAATTCGATTTTTATCTTCATTTAATAAACGTATGTTAATTTATTTTTATGCGCTAGCGATTGCCGGCAATTAGCGCGTGCTTCGGACCAGATACCTCCCTTTTGGAGCACCCAACCCCAATGCCATTCTCCCGACATATTTGAAACAAAGGGAAGAACACAAAATATTTACCCCCAAAGTGCCATCAAAATATTTTCGCAATTCCTTTGGACTTTGGCAGAGATTGTTAATTGTGTATGTCAACGGTTTCGGCTGTTGCTTACAAAACAATATTTTTCAAGCTAAGAATAGTATTGTAAACTGCATGGGGTCTAAAAATGGATCATTGGGATATGTAAGGTAGCCTATTAGCAGCGAAATTGTTGATCCAAATTATTCTAGCCACGTGGACAATAGTGGGGGAAAAGCAACCACAGACAGATGTAAATAAGTGCACAAATATTTTGTAATTCTAACAGTTAGTTAATGAATGCAATTAAGCAAGTGCTCTGGATTGAATTGTTGTGAGGTGATACTGATGATGTGAAAGGCAGTGTTGGGGTGCATCTAGATACTTGTACCTAGGTACCATTTTTTGATACCTTATACCTTACCTAGGTAAAAAAAATGTGAGACCACCTTTTACCTTACCTAGGTAAAGATTTTGAATTATCTTTGAAATTTGATATGTTAGGTATTAAGGTACTGATAATTTATACTTATTTTTGTTTTCAACTTTGTTTGATACCAATTAAATTAAATTTTGTATAACTTTCGCCCATATGCTTATGAAAATATTATAATTTCAATGCAACTTGAGAGGATGTTTTTTTTACATGTTTATACAATCTGATTTAATTGCCAGATCGTATAAACAATATCACAATTCATCTGCAACTTCTTAAAAAACAAATTGATCTCAACATGATTAAATTAAACAAAAAATTATTACATTTTTATTAGCCTTTCTTGTACCTTTTACCTCAACAAGATAATTGATAATTGTGTAATTCCTAGGTACTTATTTTCTCAAATACCTTGTACCTTTAGTTTATGTTTTCTTTATTATATACTCACAGTTTGGCATTATCCTCTTTGGTCTTGGGAGTGGAACTGGGATCGTAGAAGGACAACTTCCGATTGGCGAATACCAAATTCAGTAGCGGTGGAGCGCGCAGTTTCTTCTGAAACGTACAATGGAATGGTTGTATATTACAGCTGTAGTTCAGGTCAAGAATTCCCGGCAAGAGTCACGTATTCCCAGTTATTGTTATGTTAAGAACCAACATTACTGCACGTACTAGCATATTTTAGTGGTATATCCAATGTATACCGCAACTGGATCAATGTGGAAATAATGGACAAACGCCATTAACGAGCACCTTTTATAGAGGAAAAGAGGTTGGTCTTTCCAAACTTTTATGGAACCCCCAAAACTCTGCAACACTACTAAAGCTTACAATAATGATGGTAAGTATCATACTGCTTGGTTCTTATTTTTAACATTTCACTCATATCAGCATATACTGGCATATTTATAATTTTGAATTTGTATGATGTTTATGTTTTATTCTTAGCCTACTATCTTTTTTCATAGCAATTCTATTTGCGTTAATGGAAAAAACGGTAATCAATCATTAAGGCAACCGAATACTTCCTGACCTGCCTTTGGTCAGAAGTACGATTGGATTGGATTACCTAACCGCATGACATCAGCGAAACAGAAGTCGCCGAATTTTCCTTAATTTCCTTTTCTTCGTAAATGGTGGAAATACACTCTCTCGACTTGATATTAAATTAATAAAAAAAATTCCACAAGAATTGCTATTCTTTTGATAACATTATTGACTTTGCAATTTTTATGGAAATAAAGTGTTAAAGTTATTTGTTCGTGCCTTTATCCCTACTATAAATCAGACTCTCATTCTGAGAATAGGTAAATCTTTGCCTTCAAAATCTGTTTTCATTGTTAAGCTGTTTTCGCACTTGCTGCTTATTTGCATATTATTAAATACATATTTAAGCAAAAGAAAGTCATGTGAGGGCGAATATTTCGGACAGCAATAACAACAACAAGATCAGGTGCGGCAAAAAATAAAAAGAATATAATATTGGCCAAACAAGTTTCCGTTCAAGGGGCCTGTCGCCATTCTCGTGGGACTTTGACACCTTTAAAATTCGAAATGTTGACGCACAATTCGCACGGAAGTGCAGAGATAATTATTATCGAAGAGAAACTAAATTGGGAACGAGAGAACTATCACATTCTCTCATCACAAAACTATTTGTACGTAATTTTCTAAAATTTAAACCCGATTATGTCAATGCATTACGAAATGGGTTTGTAATATACAATTATTTTCTAACATTCGTTTTTATTTTTTACAAACAATACTTTGTTAATTAAAAACGTTACCTTTTAATTGTCGACTTGGCAGGAACTTTATCGTAAATCAAAGGTTTTTCTAAATATAATTTATTGTTGCAACTGATAGCTCCCAAATATTAATAGTTTCATAAATATTAACATTTTAAAGTAAATTGGTAGACGCAATCAACAATTAATTTGCAAAGGGAACAGCTTTTGAAGCTGGGTGCTTTGAATGATAAGCTATCTTTATCGCCTTATATTTATTAATATCGCAAGAATTTTTTGAGAAAACCCTTATTATTATTTGTATAGCCTATCCACGTTTCTAAACTGGTTACTCAATACATTCATCGGAACCGAGCGGATGTACCTTTAAGTTTTATTAAAATATGTGCAAAATTCTTGAAAAGAGCAAGAGAGTATCCAATATTTTTGTTTAAACATTGGGAGAACTATTTCTCTTTATTTCTTACTCTTCCCTGGTTACCATGTGGGAAGTGAAGGGGCTTGGTTTTTGTGTTGTGGCAGCTAAAATATTAATACGTACGCGGGTATGCTAAATATTCATGAATGTGTGCTCTTTCATTTCTCCCATGGCAACGAAAAAACCGCAAAACAATTTCGACTAGTGATGGACTTCTGCCAACTTTTAGCTAGCGCAACTCAAAACCATAATTGTTCCCCTGGAAATACCATCTTCGGATTTATATAGTACGTACAAAGTATATATGTATTAATTTGCATTTGTGTTGCCATGCTCACGTTTACACTATTTATTTTCGGGTGACAGTTTCGCGTGACTTTGACACTCCAAAGAGTCTGTGAATCACATACACGTTAAAAAATGAGCTGACTTTTTCCTATGAAAATATATCCTAAGTTTGGCTTTGTAAATTAACATATAAACAAGCAAAATAGGTATTCTAAGCATGTTATTTTGTTGTATTATATATATTTAAAAATTGCCAATGTTGTATTAAAACTAGTTAATATCATATTATGTGTTTCAATATTAAGCAATTCAGGATAATCTTAAACACTGACGTCTTCTTCTTATTAAGTTAAAGTTTTCTATCAAAAAAAGATCAAGTTTATACTTTACTTAAGGGAATTTTTTTGTTTTTTTTGAGCACACAAAATAAGTTTTCTAGTAAATCACTATGAAGATTAAAAATAAAATTTATTTTTAGGCTATCAAAATTACATAAATTATCTTTTTATGTTGATAAGATTTTAAATCCAATAAGATAAGATTACAATTTTTTCAAAGGAAAGGCGTTGTATATATTAACATTGAAATGGTAAAATGAAACTCTTTTTTTATTGTTTTTTCTATGTGCAAATGTTCATATTTATTTATGGTCCACGATTGGCGCTGGTATTTTACGAGCGAAAAGATTAAATTAAGGCAGATTTTGTATAACCATTACCATTACCATTCCCATTCCCAATCTCACAATCAGTGTTTCAATGTCTCGGTCAGCGTCTCACCATCGTCTGGTTTTTAAAAATTTTTATGTACTTGTTGTTGAGAACCAGTACAATTGGGGAGTTTCAAATGTCACATGTGGCTTTTGGGGATTAGGGATGCGTGTGTGTGTCATTTGATTTGCACCTGATTAGCACCTACCCCCGAAAATTTGGCACATAATTTCACAATTAATTTGGCCAGTAGTCTAGTCGTTGCAAACCCAGATGCGATAAGATAAACTTTTTTTTTATCATTTTTTAGGGAAAGACAGGACAGTGGGTGTGTTATCTGGATATTGCGTCAGTCACGCTGCGCTAAAGCTTTTATCTAATTAAACTAAGTCCCGGAGTCTTCATTAAGAAAATATAGCGTTGTCGGGCTGAATGAAAGTCATATGCCCTTACGTGCCCGAAATCACTTCCAGGCCAGAGTCCATGCCTTGGATTTGTTTAAATTTCAAAATCTATTTTTGGATTTCTGCAAACTGTTTGTTTTTTCCGCCAGCATTTGCGCATCGGTGGGTATTATGCGTTCACTTTTCGTGTGATATCACATGAAAAATCAATAGCCTGGTGAAATTATGGCCCAAAAAAATGTACATAGTCAGCTGTTTTGTCGCTCAACCCTCATTTGAAAACCACAATATCCCCCTGGCGGCACTTACCTCGGTGGATATTTTCTGCTGCAGCTGTTTGCCCGTGTGTCCGAACTTGGCGCGCTTCAACAGATCCGTCTCCTGGTCCAACTGTTCCGCCGGCTCTGCGGCGGATGCCTTGGCGCGATGATGGACCGCCAGAAGTCGAAGGTTGCGACCGGCTAGCGTGGGAACACCTTTAAGCATTATCACAATCACTGATTTGTCTAAGTGGTGATGCCCTAATGACGACGATGTCTCGCTGATTCACGGATTATCGGTTTAACGGATGCCTAACAGTGGGTAAACCTTAATGCTCGTACTTGATGGCTTGTCTTGCGGTCTCTAATTTCACGTTGCGTATCCGCCCCGTTGTCTGCTCATGCGTTCTCTTCTACCAATCGCTGGGTACTAAACATCGGCCGAAACCAGAAGGCCCATAATCAGCTCAACGCTGTCGCAGAATCGGAGGCAGCGGCAGAGGCAGCGACGTTTACTTCTTCGACTGGTGAGCAAGCATAAATCTCTCTCTCTCTTTCTGGGGGAGAGTTTCGAGGCGAGGGAGACGGAC